CTATTATCGAAAACCGGCGCTACTTATCTTTCCGTTTTATTATTTACCCTGAGTAATTTGGAGTAAATCTCTTTTAATATATTTATAATCTTAATTTTCTATCACTGAAGAATTAAGGTGTCTGATTTGATTAAAAATCTGTATTACGAAACTTAAAAAACAATAATCTTCCATCTCGTCATTTTTGACGCGCGGATAAAATTGGAATTAACAGGAAATATTTAAAGACGTCATTTGTATAAAATATACATAACCATATTCGCAGTTAAGTTTGTAAAAGTCCGCTATAGTATAACAGTCAACGTATATCTTATGTTTTATTATAGGTTATATATTTTTTATCTTATATAGAGATAAGTTTGCAACATACTAGTTGTAAATTAATCGTTTTCCGGATTATCATTAAACACACAACTGAAGTTAATTTACAGTGGGTTAAGTAATGTTTTTTAAAAGATGTCTAAAACAACATTTAACATTTTCCAAAGACGGCAGACGCGGCTTGTTGAACAATGAAACAATCGGAAATGCAACGAACGGAGTGAAAACCTAAGAACTGTGAGAAATTGGAGATAAGAGTGCTTCGAATTACGGCCTGTTACCAAAATTACGTTAAAAGGCATGGTTTTCGAATAACAATTATATCATCATATAATATAACAATTATTACCAAGAAAAATACATCGGACAAGGCTATGATGTCGCCGTAAAAACTATATTTATTTTATTATTATACTACATACCTGTAATAAATGCTATTTAATATACAATGTGTCCTAAAATGGTGGAACAAAATTCGTATTATTTTCCAGTTCAGATTTTAAAAAATCGCTGAAGCAGGTCAATTAGTAAATAGAAATTGTCACTTTTTTTGCAATATTTTCTATTTTTTTGAGCCATGTTTGACAGATCTATAACATTACCGACATTCTTTTTAATAGGACGCTCTATAGTTTACAGAAGTTGAAAATAACAACTTACCTGCCAAACACATTGTTGGTTCTTTTGAGCCGTAAATAAAATAAAAATATATCCAGCCAAACTTCACCCGAAGAGAGCTGTTTTGTTTGATCTTTTGTTTCCCAATATTTATTAGGAAGTTCGTCTTTACCGCCAAATTTGATTAATTTGAAAGAACAAGAATCAAAGTTGCTTTTTATGATGTTATGACAGTGCTTTGTTGTACGCATATTAACAGGAATAAGTTATTTTGTTTTGGCTCTAGGCTTTCGTCAACTTCAGGTACAGAAACTGCATTTTACATAAATTATTAAATCAAACAAAAATAAAAGTCTGTTACAAAGACGTTCTGGCAATGTCATGTAATTAATGCAAATTACCATCTTTACAATGATTCCAAGGTTATAGAAAAACTGGGAAAACTCACTAAGATAAAAGAAGATCCATTGACCTTATACTGATCATTTAATAATATGAGAAGCACCTGGAAATCAGTATTTTTAAATAGTTTTCCGATCGAGAAATAAACACATTGTACCATAAAGAAAACAAAAATATTTTCTAAATAGATAATTCGTTGCTGACCGTGGACTCGAGGTCCTTACCTAATATTTAATAAATAATGTTATTAAAGTAAATAGTCACTTTAATTACTCTTACGCCAGAAGAGGACACTGGAAAAAATTATGGTAAATTCTTATAAAGTTAATATGGAATTTGTAGTTTATTATCATCGTTTCCATTTTCAAGATTTACGGTTGCTCTAATAAACCACTTCTTAGTTAAATATTATGTCACTAGAAGAGCAATAAACAAATTTATGATACTTTATCACGGTTAAAATAGTGTTAGAAAGAGTTAGTGTACACAAAATGGAGAATGTAAATCAGCATAAGCAAAATGGTATGGTTATCATTACTCTTTACTTAATTACGTAGAAGCATAATAATTGTGTAGTGCTTGAATAGCACAACGTTGACCCAAAACGTGTGTAAAGTAACACTTTCGCCACATGTGGGAATTTTGATGAAAGTACCGTGAGTGTAATATGTAAAAGGTACTTTACACACACGTTTCGTAAAATACCTTTTCAACAGCTTGACTAAATTCATTTTTTCCGCCGCGAATGTCAAAGGTGTATATTATAAACACATTAGTGTATGAAATTTACGCACTAGTGTCTAAAAGTGAATAACTATTTATCGAAACAGTTGTCAGTAACTAATTTACTTATCACACTAGTGCTTAAAACATTTATTTTAAGCACTAGTGCGAAAAAATTGAATTTTACTTACTATACTTTGAACGTATAGTTAGTATTTTAAGCACATTTTATTTTTGGCACTAGTGTGCAAAATATTTACGAAATAGTGGACTAGTGCGAAAAAATAAAATTTTAGGTACTGTAAAGTGTGCGTAAATTTAGTACTTTACGCGCATATTATTTTTGGCACTAGTGCGTAAAAAACAGAATTAATTTTACTGTGCAACAGTCGGGAAGTTATTTTACGCATATTATGTGTTTTCACTAGTGTATCAAATACGCTTTAGTACAAAAAATTAAATATTTAGTAAGAACAACACAACTAAAATATTTATAACTGTAGTAGTAGTGTAATAGTAATTTGTACACATTTTATTTTTGGCACTAGTGCGCAAAATACATACCAATGCGTAAAATGTTAAGTGTGCATAACTTTAGTATTTTACGCATATTTAATTTTTCACACTACTGTAGATATAAAATATTTACTTTACGCTTAAGTGTAAGAAGGTTAGTATTTTATTCATATTCTATTTTTTCACTAGTGTATAAAATATTTACTTTACGCTTTAGTACAAAAAATTAAATATTAACACAACTAAAATATTTATAAGCGTAGTAGTAGTATAGTACTAATTTGTGACACATTTTATTTTTGGCACTAGTACATAAAATACATACGAATGCGTAAAATGTCAAGTATTTTACGCATATTTTATTTTTTACACTAGTGTATAAAATATTTTCTTTACGCTTAAGTGTAAAAATGTTCAGGAAAATACTTACATTACGCTTTAGTGCAAAAAGACAGATATTACACAATTAAAATATTTACAGGCTTTGTACACTTGTGTATTATATTTTATTTCTCTGGTGTACAAAGTACATAATAGTGCGTAAAGTTACTGAATGAAATGCCTTAAGTAATCTTAATCCGAAAAAATAAGTATTTAGTAGGACCAAAACAACTGTTACAACATAGTACAGCCATGTAGCTGTCGAAGTTGTCATCCAATTTCTTTTACAAGTATTTTCCCCTATATTCATCACATTGGTTCTCTGTATACACACTGTACACGCGATTATTTACATCGTGTATAGTTAATTGTATAAGAAGCTAAAAAGGATTAAGGATAAAATGTCTTAATCGCCAATATTTTATCTGAGTTTAATTCTGTATGATTTATTGCCGTCCGATAGATGCGGGGCATGTCTAGAAGATTAGCGTGTGGCAACATTCGAATCTAGTAAATTTTTATTTAACGCAAACTTCAAATGGCATTAAATGGTTAAATGGTTTTTAAAAATATCTACGCGGACATTTTAGATAACATGCGAAAGTCAGTACTGTAATAAATTAATTGCATAAATATGCATCGTGTGATATCCCTATCGTTCAAAGGTTTAGTGAAAAGTATTTTTAATCTTTAATAAATTTGTTCTGGTTGCACAAGAATATCTAATAGGCAATAAGGAGTTAGAGCTTCAAAAATTAGCGAAGACTTTTAGGATTATTATGTTCTTTTGTTAAAAATTTGATGACACTTAATTTTACAAAGCTATTTTTTTTGTTTCAAAACAATTGCAATTAATGAATTGAAATCAAATAGAAAAATTACTTTTTTATTAAAAATTAAAAAATATATCCATTTCTCTAAAAAGATAGTGTACATTTTTTAGAGTAGATTGAAAAAAAATTATATAAAATTAATTCATTTTTCTGTTATAATTTTTTAAATTTCTGAAATCATCCCTTAACTTCTAGTCTATCTAACTGTGCTAATTGTAATACTACAAGAAAAAGCTAATGAACCACTTTTATGCAGAATTTTACGCTATACAACTTTTATAAGAAACTTTTTTTGCTAGCTCTTACCCCTTTTGAGTTATCTTGAAAAACCCCTTTATTTTATCTTTTTTCACCCGAGGGTTGAAAAAAAAATTACTGTCACTTACTGTTATTACAATTCAGGCAAGTTGATCAAATGGTGATTTAAAGGCCCATTTACTCGGACAGTCGACAGTACTATAATTGTGTAAATTTTCAATAGTTTTTCGGGTGCGTATATTTTTAAACGCCCTGTGTTTATTGCAATTTAAAAAATTAAAACGAAGGACATAACTGTATGTGTGGCATAAGTGGAGTACTATAAACGTACGGAATTATAGAAATAATACCTAATTACTAATCAGATACAGAAAATATTCCGACCTCGAAAAAATCAAACAGCGACCTTAGCATAAGCCACAAAAAGCAATAACAATGTAATGCATATCCGTCATCAAGTGTAATTTTTCGACATTAGCCGGTACCGTCCTGCGATTAGCTCTGGCGTAGCACCACACGTTATGTAACGTATTTACCCAGTATTGTTTTTAATGTACAATACAATAAACCCAATACAATATTCGGAATAATTAAGTTTGAAAATAGGTTTTACGAGGTGATATTTCGCGAAATAAAAAAATATTTCCATGTGCATTTATGTTCACCGTTGGAATTATGCAATCGTAGCCACTTTAACCTAGATTCTAGAGTACCTACGTTCAAGATTATATGATTCATGAATGCTAATATCTGACTGATTTAGATATACAGCGTGTCTCAAATTTGGCGCGACAAGATACACGAGAAAAAATATAAGTTTTTTTTGGGCCACCCTAGTATATATAGTAGGAATGAGACAAATTATTGTAGACCATGATTTTTTGCATAATTATTGATATATTCTTTTATGTCGTATATAAACTGGTGACATTTCTGTTTATTTTTCAGGCTGAAGATCTAATAGACGATTTACTATCACTGGAATCCAGTTCGCTAGCTTCTGATGGGTTTAAGACGTCAGATAACTCCCTCAGTGCAAATGATCTCAACATCAAGAACGAGCCCTTTATACTTAGCGATGCTCAGCTACATGCTCTTGCTAAAGACAGACAGAAAAAAGACAACCATAATATGAGTAAGTTGATGTAATTCATATAAGAAAGAAACTTGATTTTTGTACTTGTTTTTCGGATGTCACTCTCGGTTTTCTTATTTTGACATTAAGACAAAAATAAATATGTGTTATAAATATCAAAGAAAAAGTGGTGGGAGCAATTAAAAAATAAACAAAAGACAAACGTAAGAAACACTAGTTGGCAAAAATAGACACAGAAAACAGAACATATTGCATACATATTTTACTACAAAAAACACACTCTGTATAACTCAAAATGTAAGTATCAGTATTTTCGTGTAGGTTTCCTGTCTTTTGCACCCTTTGCTATACACAAACAAATCTACGAGCTGTGGGAGGTGACACAATCGCGATGCTATGGCTGCATTTTGCTGCCATTCCCCTTACACTAATATCAATTAATTATAACTACTGTAAATATAGGTCAATTTAGATACCAAATTTATATATAAATCAGGAAAACAAAAAAGAACAAGTTTGCTGTGCTATAGATAACGTAATCAATTTTGTTCTGGTTATTATTAACATTTTAAAAAAATGTTGTTTGAAAAACTTGCTTTCTTCGTTGAGTTCTATGTCGGGTTAAAATTGTAGTCTTGTAAATAATAAATTACACATCAAAGTATCCTACATGTTGTTAATAAAAAATTGACCCAACCCAAAATTTCACTTCAAACGATGTTGAAATTGCAGCACATAAATTAGAAATGTCAAAACGTATTCATTATATTTGCAAATGTAGCTCGGGGATTATTATACGGAATATTAAGTAATGGGTCTAATGTGATGAATTCTAATGGGACTTAAAACTGCAGTGTTGTTCGTCGATCAAAATCAAAACCTACATAAAAATTTATACAATATACGATATGATTATTGCATTATAATTATATTTTACAAAATTTTCAAAAATTGAAATATACAGTTGAATCAAAATGAAATTTCTTGTAACATGTAATTAGTAGTTTTATGACCAAATTAGAAACAAAAAAGTCTAATTTAAAATAGATGTGTATGATTTTTTAATAGAAGACTTGAGAACCGCTGGCTTTACTTTGATATTTACGCTCGACATAATTTGTCGCGGTCATTTTTAACATTTATTGTTATATTTTATGGTTTTCCGTTAATAATTAAGGCTTCTTTCAATTTATTTCGTTCATTTTAATGTATTCTAATAAAAGCTCTCCCACAGACAAAAATCTTGTGTACACTAACATATTTTATTTTCTTTTACTAAAAAACTATTGTATTGTGTTGGGAGACAAGATAAAATTTGTTTGAAATAGGGTTGGTACGTTTTCAAAATTTTGCCTTCGAATAATTTACGTTCCTTTTGAAGGATCTTGGATGCGTGGGGAGGAGACGCAGGGGGAGATTTTTTTACATTGAAGACTCTTCTCAATTTTCAACGAGAAACCTCCTAATTCTTTTCGCACATTATATTATACAGGATGTATTTAAACGAAGAAGCACAAATGTTACATTGATAATCTTGAGCGTATAAGTAATGTTTATTTGGCCCGATTACATATTTTTAGATCAGGATTATAAAAGTACCATTTCTGCTTCTTCAGCATATTAGAGTAACTGGACTATTTGAATGAAAGATAATCTTGGACTACTGTCTGGGATGCCCGATTTACTTGTGAATTTTTCAGTTGAGCGTCGAAGAAGATTTAACATAAATGATCGAATAAAAGAACTTGGTACCCTTCTGCCAAAGAACAACGACCCTTACTACGAAATTGTAAGGGATGTCCGTCCAAACAAAGGTACCATCTTGAAGTCTTCCGTGGAGTACATAAAATGTTTAAAAAACGAGGTTCAGAGACTTAAACAGCAGGAAGCAAGACAAAAACAAATGGAGAGTATAAACAGAAGGCTGCAGCTTCGAGTACAGGTAAAACTCAATTTTTATCTGAAAATTTTTAAAAACAGTGTTACTGATGTTGAAAACGACAAAGTTAAATTCCCCATAAAACAAAGTCGTAATTTTTTAACTTCGCCACTTCTGTCACATTTTGTACCAAATTTCGTTTTTCTAATGGTCAAGTATAACTGAATTATTGATTTTTTTCGCACTTCAAAACTATTTTGTGCATTTACTGTGCGAAAATCGAACACGATTTTAATATATTTTTTAAATTTTTACCGTTTTTGCAATTTCATTTAAATTAAAGAAGCATAAAATCATTTTGAAATAATTTTCACGAAATATTGGGGCACTTTGTTCATGTTGTTTTATTTTTTAGGAACTTGAAAGACAAGCTAAATCTCACGGCCTCCCCGTGTCGGAATTTAACTGGCAAGGACTGTCAGCTAACCCACCTGTGCAGTTCAATTCTTACAACAACAATCAAAATCCTCCTTCGGCAGCAACCCTTTTGCCTCCCATAGTATTGACGGATCCTAGTCGAAAGGTGGGTAATTTAGGAAAGGTGGAAAAATCCACTTCTGTTTTTAGAAAATTAAATCATGCCACATCTAATAAAAGTTGTCCTAAAAATATTTCGTTTTAAATAAATTAAATTCTGCAAGGCAACAAAAAAAATTCACTTGAAGGTGTTCAAAGAGGTTTAATACGTCTGTTGAGGGTATAAAGGGGTCTGTTAAAGGGTAAAATGGTCTGTTGAGGGCATAAAAAAAGTCATTTTAAATTAGTTCCGATTTAGAGCTAATTTTTGCTGGAATACCTTCAGTACAACTCACATAATAAAAGTGTAGATCCCTAGATCTGGGCGAGGTCCGGAACATTTTCAAAATTGTAAAAATGTTTAAAAATTTTTAAAAAGTACCTATTTTATCTGAGTTTTTTGCTTATATCTTGGAACCTATGCATTTTGGAAGAATATTGAAGAGGAAAAAAGTTTTAGAATTGAATCTTGCACCATATACTGGAAGTTAAAAATGTTTAAATTTATTACCGATGTTGCAAAATAGCAATAATTGATGAAAAGAGACAAAATAACCGAGTTTTTTTGGATAATTCTTTAAAAATATTTTAATTGCTTCGAGGGCATTCTAATTTTGGTAAAAAATACTTTAGAGTATAACAAAACAACACATCAAATTTCATTAAAATCGGTTCGATAGTTTTCGCAAATATGAAAAATTTTTTTCGAATTTTCAAAATGTTGCAAAGCCTCAAATAAAGCATCTAGATACTTGAAAATTTTTTCACGTAGAAAAGACCGCTCAACCTTTCAATTGGTTTTTGAAAAATTCAAATCGGTTGATTAGGACGGCCACAATAAATTTTTAAAGTTAACAAAAAAAGTTAAATTCCGTTTATTGGTTCTCGAGATCAAAGTTTATCGGCATTTACCGTTAATATATAAACAATTTAGCAATAATCTTTGATACAGTGGCTTCGTTTTTTAAAATCTGAACTGGAAAAAAATATGAATTTTGTTGCATCATTTTGGGACACATTGTATATTAGCCTGGACAGCTGTATCCTTTTTAATTCTTATCGAGTGAGCAACAAAAAAAAATTAAATCCACGGTAATAAGAACCCTGTGAAAACCACAGTAATATTGAATAAAAAGTCATATGCCAAATCAAGTCAGCTTTGAAATATCAATTACATATTTTTTCAACATTATTTTTTTTAATGCTTCTATTTTTTGGATGAGTGTATTTGATTCGAAATACTGTTCTCAATTAATTACGCAGCAACGTTTGAATAGATAAACTTGGTGCTCTATGCTCTCTTTGTAGTTAAAGTACATTCATAGATTTAAGAAAATGACTTGCGTCGAACTGAATCCAGTTCCCGCCATTATAAAACTCAATCGTTAAAGAATACAGAAAATGATGTTATTTCCTATATAATTTTGATTTTTCAAATATGTGCAATAGTGAAAAAGGTATAACTACAATCTGTTGATAAAAAAAACGTTAAAAGATTTGAAGAACTTACTAGATCAACACATTCTCTTAAATCTAGAAATGTACATTACCTACATATAAAATTTGAACACAGATTAGGGTGGACTTGTTTCCATCAAAATTTTGCTTTTTGCATTGTTATTTGTAAGTCAAATAAACAAAGACAATGACAATAAAATTAACATCAAATAATAGAGTAAGATGAAAGCCAATTCTTTGTTTTAATTTTTTCAACCACATAAGTATGCCGTTGCCCAACCTATCCATTTGGCTACCTTTACATTTTAGATTTATTTTAAAATACTGATTTTTGTATATTTTTACAATTGTGTATTTTTACTTGTGTGTATTTTACAGAAACAGACAAACATTTTGGTTGGAACTTGTCTGTCCAAATGTATACAAGATTTTCTTCAACATCAGTTAGATTTTTTTATATTCGTCCGTCTGTATATTTAATTATTCATTTTTGATTTCATTTCATGTTCCATCTTTTAAGGATCAAACAACTTTAGGCATTGATTTAGGAAAAGTTACTCAATGTTTTTTGGTTTTTGTTGATTAGAATCAGTATTTAGAATTACTCGCAACATCTGTGTTACATCCAGCATGCCTATTGGCTTTTTTCCTTTACCAAAAGCAATTCAGTTTTGTCTTCATTTTTGGTTTTGAGACTTTAAATAAAAAAGAACTGATAGAACTCAACTAGTTACACAATACGTCTGGTATGTACAAGATGTTGGATCTTCTTCAATGGTGTCTAAAATATCGTCTTCGACCACCACGATTTTCCTGTAGGTGTGTTATTTCCCTAGCTCTTTGAAACAACAATAAATAAACTTATAAGCTGCTAGATGAAGAATTCTTAAAGGACCGCAATGCTAAGGCAACATTTTGACAACACTCCCCGTATACTAATACACAAATAATTCAATATTCTTTTGTCTGTGTTATGTTTAATCGGACATTTTACCAAAGCGGTTGGGTTCGCGAGTAGAGTATATTGGAGAGTTCTAATCCACCCCCCAACCCATTTTTACCCCCCCCCACCACCACTTTTTCTGGCCCAGCCAATTAGAAGACGGAGAGTTCTAATCCGCCCCTCCCACTACTTTCCTCCCACCACTTGGCCCCGCCTATTTTTAACCCAGCCAATTAGAACTCACCGTCTTCTAATTGGCTGAGCCAAAAAAAGTGGTGGGGGTAAAAAGAGATGGGGGGGTGGATTAGAACTCTCCAATATACTCTACTTTCGCGCTTTATCTCACCCGCAAACTTATTCCTGTTGACAAAAACCGAAAAGGAAACACGTTAACTGACATATTAATTTTTCCAGATGCCAGACGTTATCTCCGACGCAATATCAGACGCGTCGTTAAGTCTGTCTGCAATGGAAGAAGGTATGGACGATGACGACCTCGTCTACGGAGTAAATGGAGACCCAATGCTATCCTCCCCCCACGCTCTGACCGGAGACACGCTGCTTGCCTCCCCCGCCCACCCTGGATCTGGGGATATTTTACTCTGCGAGCCACGTCTACCTACCCCCACCCCCACCAGTCATATTGATCACGAGGGAGACACGTTAGACATAGATATGATAGCATGATCTTAATGGTCACACAAGTGGTCTTGTGCAATAGATGGTGGACTGCGAAATGTGGTCAGGTGAAAAATACGGAAAGGTGGAACGCAATGTTTCGGTTTTTTGTCTGCCCGACAATTTCTGTCCAACTGTAGTGTTAATTTTGTATTTCCTACACCATGTTAATGTTAGATAGGGTGATATCTGTCTGTTAGGGTGGTACACCAGCCCTTTCTTAACCCGATATTCGGTGTCACAGAAATTATGTTAGAAACCGTAAATTTAATGTCGGTACTTCACCATTATTTAATGCAAAATATTTAGAGCGCTATTAGATTACTTTTTACGTTTTTAAAAGTCAGTATTATGTATTGGAATATTTTGGTTTTGTTCCCCGTGATTGTCTGATAACTTTTTGCAATTTACATAAGTATTTATTGTTGTTATATCACCATACTCTTAAAACACGTTTTTCTTTTTAAATTTAGGAGGTATTATTAACACATGGCTCGACACTTGTTCACACTTCACAAAATGTATTGCTGGTTGGCTATTTGCTATAGAGCCCTCTTAAACGCAAAAGAAACTGAAGATCCATACCATTATCAGCAACATTTTTTTTCATTCTTAATTTAACACTGTTTCAACACTCTGAGGACTATCTGGTACCATCGGTAGCATATTGTCGTCGATGAAGATAATAAAAAGTTGCATCACTAGGACTAAATTCTGTTTAAAATGATGTAATTTTTGGGAACGCGTCTCGACATGTGTTAGTAATGTGTTCTAATCTGTATCCCTCGAAACGTCAGGTAATTTTAATGCTTAAGGATTCACAAACTGACAGCAATAGTGCTCTTAGTTAACAATTAACGATTGTGAAAAGATCACAGGGTATAATGTATTACTGGGATTACAAAATTTGAATTTGGAACAAATATGAAGAATCTGGTACTGTTGGAAGTCTGTTTAGGAACCAGTCAGGTTTATATTTCAGTTTTATGATTTATAAATTTATTATAAATGAGACACCAAGTAGAGAATTATATATAAATACGTAGGTACTTTGTTAGAGTAGCTACTATTATCTCTATGTGTACTTTTACTGTTATTACATTGTTGTATCGAGGTGCTATTCAAGTTACCTTTTCTAGCTCAAATTGTATAGATGCATTTTTGTTATGTAAGAAGCCAAATATTGTAAATAAATGAAATGTGATTGATTTGGGTATGGATATTATGACCGCTGTTGTTCTGTTTAAAAATTTTAATTATTGTTCGAGATTATATTGTTTCGTATAAAGATTTTAAAGTTATCATCGGTCTACGTTATTTTACCTACTACCCCATTTCAGTACTACCGGCACTGAGCTCTCTTTCAATCAAGAAGTTCGAAAAAGTGGGTGTATGTATTCAGTTAGGTGACAAAAATTGTATAGACCAGGAAATATAGAGTTGGGCGCGACTTTTTGTTTCGGCAAGCTGAATTTATCACTATAGATGCTAAATATTATGTACAATAACATATTAGTTTCCACAGTAATAAAAATGGGGGGAAGATTGTTTACAGGCTGGTTAATTGTATAATTTTTACGTAAATTCACGTTTATAACTTTTTCCGTTTTAGATATTTTTTTAATGAAAATACACCTAGACATACTTGTACAACGATTTATTAAATAAAAAAGTCAATACAAATTTAGTGCCAAAAATAACATAAGACATATGTATACTTTACATATAAAAAACTGTTGGCATAACAATTCAACGTTTAAATAGTTTTCAACTATTGTAACCTTAACAAATGAACTTTAATACAATCAGTCGGACCCAAAACATTAGCTTTGGCTCCTAAACGGCGAAATCGGATTTTCCTTTGTTATTTTTAAATATCAGTTACTTAAATATATTAATTCGGACACTGTGTTTGTTCTTTTTAGTGAATACTAACTTGGTTACCTGCGCAATCGCAATTTCGCCGTTTAAATAAACTATCATGTGTTTTTTTTTCAACCACTTTGTTGGTTTGTCCTTTATTTATTTTATTAGTAATATCAGAATAAGATATTAGGTAATATAACAGCCTCGACAGAGTAATTCGTACAATCTTTCATCGTATTTGCAGTTCCCAACACAAAATCCATCGGATAATATTACGTCTACCTTTATAAAACTTTATATAAAGCTCACACTGATGTATAACTGCAAAAAATATATCTATTAAAACTATCAAAGAAACACAACATGGTAACTACAACCTTACAGTGTGAGACTACAACTATCTCTGTAATACTATTATTATGCTAACTATTCACTATCAACTACTTGTAATACACTCAAAAAAATTTCGTATATATACGTTCAAGAAGTTATTTAGATAGAGCATGTCAAAGGTTTTGTCTCATTGAAGCAGAAATTAAAGGCTATACAGGGCGTTAGCAGTTTGACTGTCTTAATTTTAACAGACGATAGAATACATTAAAATAAACAAAAAAAACCTTTGATGTACAAAAGTTCGATTAATTAAGGAATATTGACATAACTGTGTGCATACAATACCTTTATGCTTAATTCTAAGAAATATAATTTAAAATTCGATAAAATTCATATCGAGCAATGTGACAACGGCGCGGCGGATAACACAAGGCACTAAACTGTCCAGCAATACGCAATTCAGTTGGTATCTGGAATTGGACCGTGTCTGAGTGTTTTTTGCGTACCCTATTGCCTTTTATTGAGGTGTTTTCCAGCGAGTGCGCGAAAATTGGATTTGAAGGTGTCGTGCAGCTGTGTAGAGTTAGGTTAAGCGCTGTTGTCACGTTGTGATAAAACTCCCCAATATTAATACTCGCTGTATTTTGAAAATTGTTAATCTTCTGTAATATACAACATTTTTGTTCATTTATGATTACTCTCATGCTGAAGTAATGGCAGTCAAACTTCTTACACCCTGTATTTCTAGAAGATACGACTACTCAACACTGAATTTATCTTTTTTCTACAAAATGCTAGTAAAGTAAATGTTTCACACACTGGTGCGGAAATAAATCTTAATTTGTAACTTCCATAATAATAAAATTAATTCGTTAATTGTTATTTTAATTTTGATAATTTAGAACTAAACTTGTCTAACAATATTCATTTGTAACGTATTTATCCTAATCCGTATAGACGATTACGTCGGCACGTTTTAGAGAGTGGCAGTGTCATTCCTCGCCTTGAGTGAGGACCACAATAAAAAATTCCCGTGGTAGGGGTGAATATATTTGATGTTGATCACAATTTCAGTACAAGCACAATTATTGTATGTTGGCAGTAGTAGATTTTCTTCACAAACAATTTGTAGGTGGTTTTTGAAGTAAAATTCTAGTTACAGATGAGGCTCTGCTTTACACTAGCAAGATTTTAAATTTTTGTAATACTCGTGACATAGAAATCTTTAAGGTCCAGGTTCATAAAAAATTAGTAATATGGTTTTTCAAATGAAAATAATTGCAGTAGGCCTTGGTACCATGTCTCGAAATGTTCAAAAGTGTAGTTATTTAATTCTCTTAAAAAAATTGTTGGTGTCTCAAAAAATGGTGTCTCGTATATCTTTAAAAGCGGATATATGATCTTGCCAACAATTTCTTGTCGCTTTGATATCTATTTTTTCTAATAATTATTTGTCATTTAAGCTATAACACTGGATGGTTCTTAAGTATACTGCGATAATAAAGGGGATGATTACAGGGTGTTAAATTTTAGAACAAAAAATTGATTTTTGTTTATATATGTAACATTGTATTTTTTTGATAAAAAAATTGTACATCACTGGTTTTCGAAAGCATATTCTTAGGATTTTATTGAAAAACCAGATTCCCTGAACGACTTTCCAAAGTCTCCGCAGTCGCGCCAAAAAACCGCTCCAAGCAGCCAAAAACAGCTCGAAATGCAGACCGAATCCCAGATTCCAGGTTCGAATTTCGAACATTAAAAAATTCTCCGAATTCAACGAAATTCTGGCCAACTGCATCGCTGAGACCCTTTGATGGTTACGCGCGAAAACTAGTCGGGGTTCAGGGAGCCGCATTAAATCGGAACATACAAAAGAAATCAATGGGGACGCCTCCACCAACGATCGAAGGTCTACACTGGAAATCGGCTGTTCGTTAACCAGAGGTGGATGCCTGGCCAGTGCTTGCAGCACGGTCAAAATTTTTACAACTATTCTATAACCAAAATCTATTGTCAATCGTTTTATAGCATGCTCAAAAGTCAACAATAAAGCAAAATTAATTCCTTAAAATCGGCGCTAAAACTATACAGGGTCAGTCGAAAGTGTCGAAACCCTAAAAATTGAACTCTAAAAACAAGTGCACAAAGAGCGTGGACCATTATCCTGAAGCCAACTGCAACATGTTGAAGGAAGATAAGATTTGTCAAATCCAAGGAACTAATTGAGATCCGCAACTAGCTGGACAGCGTAAGTTAGCTTTTGCGCGACATGGCGCCCAACGTGAGACCCTGTCGCTCAATAAGCCAATGCCCAATATTTTAGTTCAACAACAGCTCGAACTATCTTGCTGATTGGATAAGCTTAAACTTTTGGTAACACGACAGTGGCAAACTTTTTAGAACTAAACTTTTTTTCTTAGTATTAAGCCCCATTATTATCGGAAGTATTTAAGGACCACCATGGTGAACAAAATAAGCGTTTTATTTTATATTTTTCAAAATGATGAGAGTTAAAATTTATTGTACTTCCTATTCCTAGTACTAATTTTGGCACTTATTACTCTGTTTCAAGTTCCATCATTCTTCACGACAAGAAAATTGCTATTAAAAGTAAATTACTTCTTGTAACACATCTAAATACTTTCTTGAAATAGATCTTATATTAAGTTCCTACAATTGAAGATGGCACATTTATAACTATAACATAAATTTTCTAGCTAATTGAAATCATAAATCCTCTAATTATGTTGACATCCTACATGTTTATAGTCAATTTTTCGTCATGCAAATTTGTATAAAATTATAAACGATTGCACAATACCCTATAATGCCTTATACGTATATGTTGTGAGAGCTCCTGTAAACTTGTCTCAAAGAAGCAGACTGATCTTCCAGGTTCCTTTTTAAATTCACGATAGTATTTAGGAGGACTTGCTGTCTTAAATTCTCGGTACTGCTCGTCCTGCAACCTTTAGATTGCATGTAATCATTTACTTCCTTTTTGAGGTTAAAAACAACCGTTTTTCCTTTTCTTTGGGGTTTATGTGCGTTGATAGTTGTGTTGGCAAAATACACCTTCCTCCTTACAGGCTCACTTTGTGGACAATCTAACGCGGAATTTCTCGACGGCTTCTCCAGTTCATCATCAGAATCAGAACTGGAATTCTCCACACGTTTATTGGCATGCCGTTTGTGTCTTGGGCTTACCCGTATTACGTCCACATTTTTCTCTTCGACCAAAATACCTTTGTGTGCGTGTACGCCTTCATCCTTCTTCTTCCTGTTAGACAGATGCTGCTTTAGCAATTCACTTTGGTTATCCCATTCTTTCCTAACTAGAACTGGAGAGTTGCTTATAAGAAAATTGGTGATATGACTCTTTTTCGGGCTGAACCGAGAGCAGTTATAGCTAGTGTTGGACGGAACTTTTGGAAACAATGTATTCTCCGTTACACTATCCTCCGTAAAACCGTTCCTGGTCTTGCTGAAGACGTCTATTTTGGAACACTCGGTGTTTCGTAGAAGCTCTACTCTTTTATTTGCCGGACCAGGGATTCTTCTAGGAGATAGACCATTAGTTTTCATTGTACGCAAGATTTGTTCCGCTTCTATAATAAGCTCCTTGTATTTTAGATCAGCTTCTTTGTCTCGCTTGTCTATTGTGTTTATTTGGTTTCGATAGAAGCTTACTGAGTTAGACCGCTTTTTAAGACACTCTTCGAGAGCTAATTTGGAAACAGGTCTATGACCTGCTCTTCTGGCAGAGAGAGGAGTTGCTCCAGCGCTCTTGGATCCATCTAAAATGCCTTTGGTCAACCTTTCCCCTTCAAACTGCTTCACGTGATGTTTCTTGTTCGAGCTCGATCTCCGCTTCTTTTCGCTGGCTTGTTTGCTGCTTCTACGCGTCGTTCGTCTTCTTGAAGACCTCTTCCTTGGAACGTCGAAGTTGTAGTAGGAACAATGACCAGTGTTGTGGTCTAATCGAGGATCGTACTCCAAATGGGAACCGTTATCAATGAAATCTAATTCTCCTTCGAATGGATCATCTTCGTCTCCGCCGTCTTGTCCGGTATCTATGTCCGTTTCGCAGTCCGTTGGATCACTGTCGCTTAGGATGTCAGTCTCTTTCTCATATACGTAGCTTTCATCGTATTTGCCCATCATTTCGTTTAAAGTGCAGTCTTCGTCATCACTTGCAGAACGGGGTCTCGGTGGTTCTAATGATAGACTGGTTCCGCTTAAGGATGAGCAGGAGGAAGAGGATAGAGAATGGCGTCTGCTGACCACTGGGCTTAGGAAGCGACGGGACCTACTGCCAATGAAAAGATTAATTTTGACCATGACATTTTATGAACCACTTCAAATTGATTTTAGTTCTCAATATACATTGGATTGGTATTGAAATAGACGATTAGGCATACTTAATATTTAAATTACAAAGACACAAAATTAAAAAAGTGGCCTGTTCCATGAATGAGACCAACCTATGCATTTACTTTGAATTCAGTAGGTTTCTTAAACAATAGACATATAACTTTTCCAATCCACAAAAATTTCTGAAGTCTGCTGTCAATAAGTCAAAAGAATAAAACTACACTTAGAAGCTACAGTAATTTTCAGCTATTCTTTATCCCCTTGTGATACAATAGCGGTAGCTCTCTTCTGTCTTCGAAAGATTTATACAGAGGATTTATTTTTCTCTTGTTTTCTTTCCATACGTATCTTTTTTTGAACATCCAACATAAATTACTGGAAAATAGTTACTAAAAACCACTGTATTGATTCACAGCAAATTTTGGTGTAGTTTTGAAGCAGAGTCGACTTTCTCGGTTCATTCAAACTGTCTTTAGAGATTTCAAATATACTAAAATTGTTGATAAACTACTTTGCAGGGCTTCTTCACAGAGAAACTCATTAAATGTAAAATACTAGAAGATTTTTGGGCTTTATGGAATAGGAAGTTTCCATCAATAGTCGCAGGGTTATAGGACTGATTTTGTTTCCGTACGACCACATATTCGTGGTTATATTTTTCAAAATTCAGATTCTAACTGAGGAATATGTTTTTAAAACAGTTATAACAGTACCATTCGGACTTTTGAGTTTCTTAGGATGCCTTTTGGCTTAAGAAATGCGTCACAAACCTTTCAAAGATTTATGAGTGAAGTGGTTTTAAGTTTAGATTTTGCATTGGTGCATTTTGATGGCATTTTATTTAGAAGTAAATCACATAAAGAAGACACGGAACAGTCTTAAAAAAATGTAAGCATCTGCAACGATTTATAAGTATGATTATTTTTTATCTTACATTTGTTCCAAATTTCGCAGAAATTCTTTCTCCTTTACATAAATGAGCTGCAAATTTACAATGTCAAAAGTCAATTCGTAGTTGGTCGGAATAGTTTCAATTTAGCAAATTAGAAATTGTTTCTAAGACTGCTCCAATTCTTATGTTTGAAGCATATGTATGGGAATTACTGCTTTCACTCACACCGATTTTTTTACAGTGTACTTGTTGGTAGAAACATGGGTGTTATTTTGGCAAATAAATAAACTAAAGAGTGACGAAGCATGGTAGCATGAGTCTCATCCTTGGAAGAGGCCACATTTTTATTTCGTGTATCTATCTACTTCAGAAAGAGATATCGCGATTTTACTTATTTAATTTATTTACAAAGCGGATTAACTTACGGACTGTCTCTGTTGATTTTCGAAGGCGTGGTTGTTTTGCTGATTTCGTGTTTGGCTGGAACAGGACTAGGAACGTTACTAGGCAGCCACGGATTTGTCCTAATTCTATTGCGTTGCCTCGGTGAAGTAATTCCCAACGAAGGACTTTTAGGCCCACCAATAATGTCTTCGATTTGAGCAGCCACCTTCGATTCTCCATGGTCTCCGTTCTGTTAGTACTCCATTCCAATGAGTACAGATCAAATATCGAATAACATACACACACCGAGACAGGATACTATGACATTTACGACTACCGAACAAAACAACCTTTCTACTACACTGCAAGGCACTAACTTAACTTCAACAGTTAGCAGGTTAGCAGCTGATTATATTTGGTATTTATAGTCAGGATATGTTCAATATCATTTCCAATAATGCTCGTTTTAAATGTTCTAAGGTATATATTCTTGTTATTATCAACTCTGATACTTTTATTTATTTTTACTAAATTCTTTTCAAATAGAATTCTCGTGCATACATTTTTTTTGGGTTACAGTATAGACCAGGGCGGATCTGTTTTGAGGTGGATGTGAGAGGGGGCAAGCAAATTTTTTCTGGATTACCTTCAGTGCTACATAATAAAAGGGTAGACCCTCTTCAATATTCTTCCAAAATGCATAGGTACCAAGATATAAATAAAAAAAACTCGGATAAAATAGGTATTTTTTAAATTTTTTAAACATTTTTGCAATTTTGAAAATGTTCCGGACCTCGCCCAGATCTAGGGATCTACACTTTTATAATGTGAGCTGTACTGAAAGTATTCCAAGAAAAATTAGCTTGCCCCCTCTTACATCCAAGAAGTGGCATATTTCGACAGATCCGCCCTGGTCTAGTATGGCATCAGCAATATTACAGGCATTAACTTTAATATCCAAATATAAAGCTTTTATCACAACATAATAAATTTACTCAAGTCAGAAATATGCACACACATTTGAATACGTATTTTCCATACGGATACAGTACAAGCTTAGCCATATCTCATATCAAATTTATAAAGATAAATATTGTAGGAAAACATGGAAACATTCTTTTTCCTTTTGTACCGCTTTCTTACATCTTCAAGTGATCTAAGTACAGGATACATTCTGTCATACGTATATCTCTTTTTAATATCCAACAGAAATTACTGGAAAAGAAATACTAAAATCTCTGTATTGATGTTTAATTTTTATAACAGTGTCAATTTTCTTTACAGTCGAAAGGGCATTCAATTTTACATTCACCCATGACAATTAATATGGGTCATTCCATTAAAAAACAAGTTTTTCAACTCGTAAGATTATTAAATGTAGGTCTCAGTATTTCCGAGTCTGAATAACGTACACGTTTTGTTCACAGATGATAAGATAGTGATTTATGCCAAAACGAACTGTGAAAACTGCAGATTTATAACTCTTACGGTTTAGACGCTATATAGCCTCTTTTAGAGAGTTGAAATTGTAATTTTTTTCAAAAACAACTGATTATCTCGAAAACGGTAAGTTTTAAACACCATGTACATTTAATAAACTCTACCTAATATTAATCAAGGAATTCAAAACGCAGTAATATACAGGGTGTTCCTTTTAAAATAACAAATTTATGTAGCGTCCACGCGAAATGGAACACCCTGTAAAGCTAAATAATTTTCGTTACATGGCCCATATGATTTCAGATTTTCAGTATGTTAGAACAAATAAATTACATTATAATTGTAACTGATAATGAGACTAAGGTGTTTTCTACATATTTCTGACTGGAAAACACATCGTGATAAACATCATAGACAGCTGCTAATGGGCCAAGATAAAAGGTTTATTTGTATCAGTTTATCGATGTCTTGATTCAAAGACCATGTTATTTTTGAAACAGCAGTGGGCAGAGTTTGCTGAAATTTTACATACTAAATAAGTACTGAAAAGAAATAGCACTATCTGTTATTCAACTATTCTTGAACAATTGGTGGATACCTTTGAAAGATAATAGAAATGTTGGGAAACGTTGTAGGGTTTAGGGATTATGAAAACAAAGGTCGACAAAATGTGACTCGAGTTACAGCAAAAACCATACTTTACTTTCCCGAAGGTTGTTCTATTGCATCAGGTTTTACAGATATTCTAACTAAAATTTGTTCACAATATTAAAGAAACGCCCTGTATATTACTTATACCGTTTTATTTTTATAAAAATAGTCTGTTAAAATTAAACTCTTCATTTAAAATAATACAGGTGTCTTTTAAGTTTTCCTAACTTTTATTTTGACCCATTTACATTAGAAATGAACTAATTGTAAGTACCAACATTAAGGAATTTACCTGAAGTATAGGTGTTCTAGGTCCATTAATATGATTTGAAACTAATTGAGCTGAATTTTTCAGTACCACGGTGCAAGAATTTTCATTTCTGCTTCTAGGAGAATTCGGAAGTTGGACAGAATTCAGAACAGGACCTTGTAAATTATATCGATCTGAAAATTTGCAAAAATTTTAGTCAAATTGGTCACAAAATAAGTAACATCCAAAAGTGACGTCATTTTTTATACTTTTGTTTTATTAAAGAATGGCTGATTAGATTACTTTTTTAATTTACCTACAAAATTAAGTCTTCCTGTTTTGTCTGTAAATGTTCTTAATTTAAAATTATAATAATAAAAAAAAAAGTTGTAGCAAAGAAAACAGGGCAAATCTGGTTATATTATAATGTCCCTCATTGTTGTTCTCTGTGTTACTACTAGAGTTTGACATTTACAGGATGTTTAATTTAAACTTTCCATGGTCTTCCTTTTATAGAACTATCAAAGTATCAATAACGCAAAAAAGTCAGTTACCCCCCATAACAAAATTCAATTTGTAAGGGATTATACAGCAAATGAAAGTAAAATATGCCTGATGGGATAATAAATTGATGATATTCTTGCAGACTCACTCATGTCAATAGTTCGTGTGAATCAAAAACATATTTTTACACGTCGAATATAAAAATTAGGTTATGTAATAAAAATACCCAGTACGACAACTGTAAGAGCCAATCGCTTTTATGCATTTGACTTTAAATATACATACATAAAAGCGAAACGTGTTGACATAAACTGATGAGAGCACAGAAGTGTCAAACTCTAGCTATTACTATACTCCAGGGTTAAAATTATAGGCAGTAGAGTCATAAATAACTAAAACTACAATTTTTGCTATTTCTTAATACGATATCATTATTTTCTGCATTATTTGCATGGAAAATTCAATATACCGCTAATCTCACAGCGTTTCGATATTATGGAACGTTCTATTGTTTACAACCGACGATGTCTATCTTCGTTTATCGTAAATAAAAAGAGAATCGATACCCACATACAGGTCTGGTCGAACTAAAAGTAGAGGTGGTAGAAATGTATACGCCCAGTTGAAGAATGTGAGCGCGGGCAAACGAAATGCAAATACAGTTGCATTGGTCCACTGGGCAATAAATCTCAGCCGCTGACAAGTGGTCGACAAATTGCCCAGCAGTGCGGTGCGGCAATACGGAATTTGGTGTGATTCATTTAATTTTAATTCTATTAATCATTGATATTACAATTGCGAAAGGGAGAAATAAGAGAGATATTTTGTTTACTAATATTATTACAACATGGCATTTTGGAGACCTTTTGAAACGGAACAAATAATAATAATAAAATTGTTTGAGGACATAAATAATTAAAATATGTTGTTAACCAAATAGACATTTTCTGCACATTATATACAAATTATTATAATTTTTTACCTTTATCAGAAAACTTTTTAGGGACGCCTATGAAACTCATTAAATTTTGTTGCCAGGCGGTTTTTTACATGTTCAACTGACTTCGGAAAGACTATACCAGTGCGTGTCATAGGCGTACAAGTGAGAATTACGTGTTATTATTTTCATATTATGGCCAATATTGATTACTTGGAAATACTAAGGTTGTGTAAATTTGTGAAGATAATCTAGATTTTGCCAAAATCAACATATCTCTTCTACATTTAAGAGCTTTCGGAATCTTTTAAAATGAATTAAATCGTCCCAAGGTTCTACATGTACTTTAGGACTGGAATATATATTAATGTTAAAAAGTACTCACCGGAATGTCTAGAGGGATTATTTAACAGGTATTCGGGAGGAGCTCCAGGTGATGTGCCATCTGTCGAGTACCCCGTGGAGTATGCTGACTCAGGAGAGGACAAGTTGTTTGCTGAGTAACGAGAATTAGATACTCCAGATGATCCAGACTGAGGGTTGTCTTGTTTTTTTGAGGCGGTGCTGGCAATGACTTCTCTTCTATCATTTTCCTACGTGGTATTTAATATAATAATTCAACTTAAAATAATAGACAGACAAATTTTGGGGAAATGATATGTATATTATTATTGTCTTCTTAATATATATCCAAATGAGGGGGAAATAACAAACTGAGTTTAATAAAACTACGGAAAATTCATGTATATTCGTCTTCGTCGTTCCTCTGTAGAAATAAATGTGACTTTAGTAAGTTAGGTATGTAAAAAGCTTGGCGAATTTTTATTAAGAACTATGTATCATCCAGATGTGACACCGATGCTGAATACTGCCTTATATATAAAGGGAAAAGCCTTTGTCGACATAATGAATCAAATCTGTCGACGGAGACAGAAAGCAAACAAAAAGTCGCTATTTTCAATACCACTGATCTTCCAAGTAATGATGTAACTTCAAAGATAAATATTTTTTAAAAGATGCTGACGCATGTATAGAACGTATAGAGATGAATGATCCCAATATACATTTAATGACATAGTTAAGGATCAAACAAAGAATGAATTACACAAAACAATCAGTCATTTGAATGCAAAATAACGTATATTTACAGGATTCAGAAGTATGGACCAAAATAAATGTATGATTATTTTATAATTTCGCTTTTCTTTGATCTTAATCTTAAAGAATTGTTCGTAAAAATGTAACAGAATACATAGGGTGTTAAAACAAACTCAAACATTTTAAAAGCAAAGGGTATTTCAAAAATATTAGCATTGTTGAGCTTAAGAGCGTACTGGCCAAGTTTATGATTGCAAAGTACCAAAGTTGACGTTCGATCCCATCCCACGGTTGCTGCACCATGCTCCTTAAGTGATTTTCGCCTTAGAGTTTCACTTTTGGCCTTTCCGAATTTTTCGTTTTCGAGAAAATGCAAAATATGATTTTAGAACGCTTCTTGACAGAATGCACATGACAACACAAATTCTCAGTAGATCACTTTTGAATGTTGCGCTAGTACCCATCGAAAAGGTTGCTATGATTTAGTTCCAAAGGGTTTTTTGTTTTTTGTTTTTTAATTCCGATATTCTCCAGGCGGGAAACTTTCATTGAAACACCCTGTAGTATATACAGCTCAGCATTATAGTATGCCAACAGATAAATACCATTTTATGATTGAATTACATTTTGACTATGCAAAAAGAACAAAACATACAAAAGCAGTATTAATGACGTCACATTCTTAACGATGTATATTTTCTTAATACATACGACTGGGAATAAACTTTTATTGCCACTGGCTATCAAAATGCATACTGATGTGGGTGTATTAGGGAATACTCTTAACGTAATATTCCAAGAGTTTGGTGACAGCTAACAAACATCCAGAAAGAAAAAGAAATGGATAATAAGGTTCACAAAGGATGTCGGAGGAAACAAATCCCTTGGTACAAGATGCCAGAAAAGGAAATTACATAAAAAATGAGAAGGAATATACATATAAGATTAAAAAAGATATACACTTTGTTCCAAAATGCTGGAACAAAATTCATATTTTTTTTCAAAATTAAAAAAATCGTTGAAATAGGTCAATTAGTAAATAGAAATTGTCACTTCTGCAATATTTTCTATTTTTTGAACCATGTTTGACAAACCTATTACCGACATTTATGCTTATTCATGCATGAACGACTGGACAGAAAGATGTATGAATTCATAAATGGGTGGGTGGATAAAAAGATGGATCCAGAACTCTGTAACACGAATTATGCCATGAAAATGGCGTTTTTGTATTTTTTGTTTTTGTATTTTGATCTATTTTCTGTTTTTGAATGAAATTGGACCAGCTTGTCTGACTCTATGATGATAAATTGCAATTAAACGAGTGAAAAATCATACGTCTAGTGAGCTGGTAGAATAATTTGATTTTGTATAACTTTCGTCGATCGTAAATGACGTTTTTTGTGAATTTTGACCTGTTTTTTGAATTTTCCCGAAAACTCAGACCCGTTGGGCCAAATCTGCAGGCAGATTCGGATTCAGCGGAAAAAATATATGGAAATACACGGGTCTGAATACCAGATCCGATCCTTTTTTTTTGTGGGGCTGTGCAATGTATAAATAAGTTATTATTATATCTTTAATAATCTACGTTGTCCACTTAAAAAATATATTTTTTACAACCCTTTAAACCAAACTATGAATAAAACCCACAAACTTAGCCGACTATGTGCACGCTTGTCAAAATATACAAACAGACTCACCCTAAAGTCGTTAGGTAATATTATTGCATTATCCGATCTCTCCGGTTTACCATTTTTAGCCTCACATCCGGATATGGAGACATTGTTGCTTTTTGCCGGTTTATCCTTCCTGTGCTGCTTTTTCCTTGGACGGACTGCTTCCATCCACGATCGCAGTTTACCTCCAAACATCCCTTCAACGCAAAAAAGCGAAACTAATTTAATATCCTCTCAGTAGACACATGCAACATTCGAAAGATCGGTTAATTAAATACGTACAAAAAGTAAACAACTTATAAACTTTCCCAGTAGATGTATGCGAAATTCAAAAGGTCGGTAATTAAATACTTGCAAAAAGGAAAACAATGTACAGGGTAAGGGTCAAACTTGAAGGGTGTGGTGTAACGTGAAGAAATATTAATTCTGTTGAGGGGTTGTGGCAGAAAATACAAGTAGCCGCGAATGCATTTAAAAATAATAGGGACATTTTGTTTAATATTCGGAGACATTTAAGAGAGTGTATAGTAAAATGTATTGAGAAATTTCATAATAAAATTTAAACCTTGAACACCCTGTATTTTTTAAACCTGCGACATAAGACATCATGAGCTCAAACTGAGTAATATTTTGGTGTCTAGTATCTCCAGCTTAGTGTTGACCCATTCTTTCTGACTCACCCTGTATATTACATTATATCTGTTGAATGGGAAGAGATACTGAAAAACATTTTTAATCGTTGTAAGTTGTTGATAGAATTTAATGTTAGATCGTCATGAAACAAAGATTCCCGCTTGCAGTTTCTCGTTCTGTTTTTTTTTTCTGTTATGGCGCCCAACCATCAGCCTGTCACCCTGTACACGATCTAGTAGATGCATTCAAAATCCGAAATATGGGTAGTTAAATATGAGCAAAAAGCGTAGATAATTTACGAATTCTCAATAGATGCATCCAAAATTCAAAAGATCGGTAATTAAATGAAAACAATGTACAAATGCACTCAGCGGTTGCATGCAAAATTCGACAGGTTGGTGAAAAAGTGGAAGCAACTTGTGAATCCCGTAACTGCATGCAAAATTCGAAAGATCAGTAATTTAAACACGTAACAAAAAGCGGAAAAAGTATACTGTCAGTAGGCGCATATAAACTCGAAAGATCGGTAATTAAATACGTGCAAGAAAACGAAAACAAAGCACAAATTCCTTCAGTAAACGTATGCAAAATTACAACAAACAACTTTATAAATTATGTCAGTAATTGACTGCAAAATTTGAAAGGTCAGTAATAATATACGAACAAAAAGCGAAAACAATATAAATCCTACAGCAGGTGGATGCAAAATTCGAAAGATACGTAATTTAAAATTCCAAAGGTCGGTAATTAAGTACCTATACAAAAAAATCGACAATTCATTAATCCTACAGTAGTTGCATGCAAAATTCGAAAGGTGGGTGATTAAACACAAATACTTACTTTCTCAGTTACGGCCTGGCCTTTACAGAAGTCATGGCTTAGGGGTTGACATACACAAGAAGCAAGGTACTTCTTAGGCCTTGTCTGAAGGATTTTCCTGGGCCAGGCATATTTTGATTTGCTTCTGAGAATGGCGCACGCTGGAAACTGGCACTGTGGACTCCGAATTAAACGTCAATGCAGCATCATCGCGACGCCGGCGCTCTACCCTAAATGAAAAGTCGCTAAATCGCATCGAACGCGGGGGATGCGTGGATGTGGGCATAAGCGCGCGTGCGCTGGTAGGTACAGGGGATTTATCAAAATCTAGAACCGTTAGGTGTTCCCCAATAAAATCGTACATTACGTTTAATTACGTGGGGTGGGGTAGCTGTTGCGTTTAATGAAATCGTGTTGTTCATGATGTTGCCCGCTAGTGTACCGGGTGTTTTGTTCTTCTGAATAATAGTAAATCTTACTATTTAATTATTTATTTGTTTAATTTAATTCTTCCAACGAAACAGAAGCTCAATTGTAGAATAAATAAGGCATCACAAAGATTTGTTTACGTAACAATAAATTAATAATAATAAAAAAGAAGAAATATATAAACAAAACTTTTTGCAAAATTCAAGATGGCGGATCCAAGATGGCCGACCAAATTTTCAGAAAATAACAGATTCTCTCACGGGTTTTCTGCCTAATCTCAGGTAATAATGTACGTAGATAATTGATTAAATTTTTAAAAACGAATTTTGTAAATCTGATATCGGATTTGAGTACAGTGACTCCGGAAACCCCCGTATACCAAATTTGGCGCGAATCTGTTATTTTTTTAAAATTCGTGATATCTGACCTTAATTGACCCCTCTTTTGAGGTTAGAAAAAGAACTACCAATTCTGACCGCGGATTTACGTTCGGCGGGGTCTTAACCATATAAATGAACATTTGAAAATAGAAAAAAAGATTTTTTTATTGTTCCTTGCACTTTTTCGGTGAATTTTTGCTATTTTGACCTGTTTTTTGAGGTTAGGAAATTGCTGTGATGTGATAGCTCAATTCTGACACCGGACTTGCGACCAGAAGGAAAAAATACTACGAATAACATATGTCGCATGAAAAGTACAGACAACTTTTTTTTGTGTGGCTGTGTACAGTAAAAATAAAAGTTTATTCATTTAATTCAATATTATGACCTACGTTAATACATATCTCTGTAATATCCGTAATATGAATGTTCAATAGTTTGGCATGTGAAACACAATTTTTCTAGACTCAGAATTACTTTGTTCGTTCCACTATGAATAGATTCCAGTATTCTATCCCTTAGAATTTATTGTCCTGTACTTGAGTTTTGTTGATTTACTGAGAAATATACAAGTTCATATATCTAATTAATGGGTCTCTAAGTTTCTAATAGGACCTGATTGCATGCGTAATGATCCTACGAGACAGTGATTAAAATTACTTACCTTATATTCTCTTATCTATATCTTCCTTGATGCAGAATGTAAACTCCCCAATTCTTAAGTATATCTATAATTCTATTCAGAAGAGATTGTTATATATTTTGTATTTTCTCACAAAATGTGACGATATTCTTGCATATTATCCTGTACGTGTTAATTACTGAAAAGCATTCAACAATTTTCTCGTTAGCACACCCTGTATAATAATGTTGTATGCTTATAATAATGTACTTCTTTAACTTAGCAGGCAATGTTCCAAAAACCGTTCTAATCTTCTTCCAAGTAAAATTCTTTCTCTTTGTGACACTCAGAAGAAAATAAAGTAACATTTTTTAATTGATCATCACATTTTTGCAAACATTTTTGCTAATTAAATATTAGTAAAAATGGCTTCAATCGTTGACCCAAGATCGTTTGATCTCAATCTTTTAGACTTCTACTTGTGGTGTCATATGAAGAGGTTTTACCAACAATGTCGGGAATAAAACGACCTTTGGGGACATATTTTCGATCCTTACCTGGGAAACGGACGGATTCCGGAAAATTTTTGCATTTTTTATCTGATACTATAGTTAAATTACCAATTTATAGGAAATTTAGTTGAAAGAAAATGAATTTATGCAATAAACACGATTCCAAACATTTATTTGATTATATTGGTGGTGATACGTTAGAGAATTTACTTTGAATGTAGCTTTTAATATTTAAACCTCTAGTTTAAATCAACAATCTCAGTTAAAGCTATGTAACACATTCCTGTTTGTTATGGTGTTCCAAGATTTTGTTCCCAATATGTTTTACAAAATCTCGAAAGTTATACAAGTATTTAATAAAAGTCTGTCCAATCTTGATAGAAAAAATAGCAGTCCAGAAAATGTTTTTGTATTATTAATTACATCATCATCATCGTCATCATCATCAACACAAGAATTTCTTCATTGTGAAGTTATATTCATATTCTTTGTAAAAACAACAAATACGTAATGTAAAACAAAACTGATATGAAAAAATTGAAAATTCGCATCAAGACAAATAAAAAAAATAAAATAATCAGAGGGTCATCCTCCAAGGAAATATTTTGGACTTGCCACTGATTTAGTAAATCCAAAGAAGAACTAAAAAAAATCAATAGTAAAATCAATGTATAAGTTAAAATTTATTTATGTTATTAGTTTAAGAACAATTTTTTCTTGAATTTAAAATTCAAAGTGCCTAATTGATGGAAAATGTTTCTTGTTATCGTTCGTCCACTACATGTTTTTGTATCTAATTAAAAACTGCACTTGAATTATTTTCTTGGTTATCGCAAATTCCGTTGATGATGTGCAACCACTTTATCTATAATACCTACCTAACAAGTCAAACTAGTTATTAACCAAGTCCAACTAGTTACTAAACAGTATTGCTCTCAACAACAATTTATTAATTAGAAATTCCAGAGGTAATTTAACGACTACAAGCCCGTTTGTTTAATATTAGTTAACAATTTAACAGTGAACTTGAGCAAATTTGACCTTTGATCAACGATACTTAACATTAACCTTCAATTAGTTTGAGGATGCATTTTGAAACATCTAAATAGATTAACTTCCTGTTAGTCGAGTAATATTTCGACATTATATTGGAACTAATTAAATGTAGACTAATTTACTGACCACATAATATAACTACATATAAACAGCACTTGATTTAAAACTAGAGGTTTAAACTATTCATTCAGTACATCTGATCTTAAATGTCCAGATTAGATAGATCACCTAATTTGGAAGATACCTTTGGTTTAAGTGTTCTTTAAGCAACACCATATGTGAAACTCAAAGAAATAGTTTGTAACTTTATCGTTTGAAGAAATTAGGCTCACAGGTCTTAACAGAAACCTTTGCCCCAATTATTTCTTCTGTTCTAAATAGAAATATAAAGAAATATGTGAAAGTATTAAGTTGTTCTTTGATGCTGCAACCCTAGTAGTCACGTATCGAACTTCGCATTAGATTTACAGCTACAGCTTTGAAGGTCGGTTACAGCATGACTGGAATCTTTACACATCTGCAGTGTATCTGGGTTAAGGTGGACACGAAATCGTAAAGACTTTTTTCCGCAAGGTACTAACGTTGCACATTACGTAAAATACAACTGTTTCGCGCTAGTGCGTAAAGTAAATATTTTACACACTAGTGCAAAAAATAAATTACGCACTAACGTAAACGTTACGCACGTTGTACACTACGCACTAGTGCGTACATATTTTATACACTAGTGCAAAAATGTAACTATTTCGCACTAGTGCGTAAATATTTTACGTACCAGTGTGAAAAATAAATTATTTACCAATGTCAACGTTTCTTACGTTGTACACTGCGTAAATTTAACTGTTTGACACTAGTGCGAGTAAAGTAAATATTTTACACACTAGTGTCAAAAATAAATTGTATACTTAAGTTAATGCATAACTTGTTTATGTTACTCTAGGTAAATATAAATGTTTTGCACTAGTGCATAAATATTTTATACACTAGTGCAAAAAGTAGTTTCGCACTAGTGTATAAATAAATATTTTATATACTAGCGCGAAAAATAAACTATTTACCAATGTAAACATTACGCACGTTGTACACTACATATAGTGTAAATCTATTGATTTAACTGTAAAGTGCGTAAAACAAATATTTTCACACTAATGTTAAAAATAAACTACCTACTAATGTAAACGTACATTATACACTATGTAAATATGTTTCGCACTAGTGCGTACATATTTTATTCACTAGTGTAAAAAGTAAATTATTTACCTAAGAGTTATGCATGTTGTACACTAAGTAAATGCAACTGTTTCGCACTAGTGCGTAAAGTAAATATTTTACATACTATTGTGAAAAATAAATTATGTACTTGTGTACGTTAGTACAAAAACGTAACTATAAATATTTTGAACTAGTGTGTAAATATTTTAAACACTAGTGCAAACAGTAAATTATTTACTATCGTATGCATTACGCACGTTATGCACTACGTAAATCTAACTGTTCCCCACTGGAACGTAAAGTAAATATTTTATACACGAAAAATAAATTATTTACTAAAATAAACGTTACGCACTATATAAATGTAGATGTTTCACACTAGTGTGTTAAACTTTACGCAGTAGTGCGAAATATAAATTATTTACCACGTTTTTCACGTTGTACACTATGTAAATATAATTATTTTGCATTACTACGAGTCAAATATATATTTTACACACTAGTGTGAAAAATAAATTATGTACTTATGTTAGTACATAAGTTATTTATGTTACGCACATTGTATTCTGCGTAAATATAAAAGTTTCGCACTAACGCGTAAATATTTTATACACTGGTGCAAAAAGTAAATTAACGTAAGCGTTACGCACGCTATACACTACGTAACTGTTGTGCACTATATAGACTAGCGCGACAAATTAATTATTTACTAAAATAAACGTTACGCACGTTGTACACTATGTAGATAGTGTCACCACACTAGTGTATAAAACAAATATTATACCTAATTATATTTTTTCTAAGAAAATTGGCGCAAGAAAGTTTTGAGAAATTCTGAATAAGATACTTGTGTTAAACCTCAGTTGATGGTTTCTGAAATTCTCACTGTTTCATATCCACCTTAACACAGACAAACCGTAATTACTATACTTACCGTGAGTAACAACTTGGAGCTCGTACAAATTAAACGCTAATATGGTTAAACAATTTCCTAGTCGTTGAGGTTTCAAGAGACCATACCGCTCTCTTTTTTTAAATAAACTCTAGAAAATCCCTCCTATAAATGTTTTTAAAAAAAAAATTCACCGTAAATATTATTTTAATTGTAGCAGGTATCTCGAATATTACACACAAGTAAAATAAGATTTCTACGGTATACTTATTCTGCGTATCCGAAAATTCATCGAAAAATCATTCTTGTACCATAATTGGAACTTCAGAACAAGATAATGATTTTTAGAGATTGGAAACTTCAGTTTGCAACTTTGCAACCAAAGAAAATAATGGAATGGTAGCTGATTGAAATAAATAAAAAAATTTTTAAAAATTATTGAAGGAATCAATATAATTAGATACACCCTGTATATGTATCGGAAAATAGTTATCGGCAAGTAATTTTAACAGGTCAACATTTAGTTTGAAAAAAAAGACACCGGACTCTACCTAGGTACCCTGATTCCGATGCCGAGGTCGATTAATATCTATCACGTCAGATTCAAGGTCATTTGAGGGTCAAGTTAAGCAAAGGTGGTGGAAAAAATCTGAAAAATTTCATACATAGGTTTTTTGGGTCGCTGAGTCTGAATCCGATGTCGGTTGACATCTATCACCTCATGTTAAAGGGCGTTTGAAGGTTAAAGTAAGAAAAGGAGGTGAAAAAAATTGGAAAAAAAATTACGAATGCTCACAATGGTTTCCAATTTTTTCACCTTCTTTTTTACCTTCAAATGACCTTGAACATGAGGTCAATCGATATCAAATTCAGACTCAGCGACCACCTTCTTAGTTTGACTTCAAATGACCTTGAATCTGACACGTTACAGCTTAACCGACTTCGGCATCGGAATCAGCGATCCCAAAAACGCTTGGTACCTAGGTAGAATCCGGTGTTTTATTTCAAACAAAATGTTGGCCTGCGTTATTAAAGCATTGCAATCTATTTCCCTTTAGTGCAATTCACTGAAAGATTACAGTAGCAACATAGTTTAATTGCTTCAGCAAGAAAGTTTAGTTTTAGTTAGTACTATTTTTACAGTTTTAGCTGCTACAATTGAGTTGTATCCAACTTTTTGTTGAGACCGTCATAGAATAGTACACACCACAAATGTAAATACCGGCCAGAGGACTTAATTTCAGAGTTTGTTCTGATGAAGAGAGCGATATGTCTCGTGAAATGCGATGAAAACTAAAGGAAGGACATGGCAAGCAGCCTAGAAATTGTCCAGGCCTCGACGGGAGGCTGCAAGCGAAGCTAGTCTACAAATAAGAGCACAATAAATGTATAAATTAAAAGTAGTATTTTAATAACTTAAAAAAATGTAAGGTGGAATTATAAACATCATTATAAATAAATGAAATGTAAAGTGATGAGGGCTTCGGAATAAATATCTGTTGTAAATGAAGACAGTAACCGTATATTTGATATTTATTTATATGAACAGTGTGTCGATTATTGTACTCTATATAGAGGGGTACATGGTGTAGTGCTAGTAGAATGAGGGATGCGGGGAGGGATACGGGAACAAGTCTTGAGGTGATGGGGTAGGGGGGCGAAACCGCCGTGGTCGTAGATACATTACGTAGTATATCACATCTTCATATATTGTAATCTCGGCGGGACTGGGCGTAGGAGGTGTGGGTTGGGGCTTAAGCAGAAATGTTACAGTAAACCCATGACGGGCACTATCTGTACTTAAACGGTACATTTTATACTGCAATTTTTCTCTTATCGTAGACCCGTCCCTATAGTTGGGTAAAAAAGACTATCCGGAGAATGCCAAACCGATTGAATTCGAACAACGCAAGCGACAATTTTTTTAGAAACCAATACAAAGTGAATACTAGTGATCACTGAAACTCGTGTAGTGTGAATTTACGCTAACAATTACCTACCGTTTAATGAATAGTTATGTACAAATTCCCCCGCCTCCATACCCACTGTCTGAATAGTGTTTAGGGTATGGAAGGGCAGGCAATGGAAACCGAAGTGTCATCTTTTTTACCCACCTATCAGTGAGATGAACCATAATTCGTTATTATTACACAACACTAATTTTTAAGAAGTGAGCGGCTTGACCTCCAGTCCAGAGTCATGATTGCTATGGTACAGAGTGAACATGTGCCGAGAACAAACGGTTTTGCGAACACATCACACAGCGTCCTGGTTAGGACTTGGTCCTGTGTTTTGGGGTAATTCTGGCCCGGCGGCCAGGACACATGTCACAGTGCACTGTGCGAGGAATGATCCGAAGCATCGGCTTGTGGCGTCGGCCGTGACCATCTTGCATCAGACGCCTATAGTCGACCATCGCCCGCCGAGGTTATTGTCGACTGTCGAGTCTCTGTTAGGCCGCCTTGGTTGAAACTTTGGACGGCGTTAACCGTCCTGGTCCCTGGAAAGAAATTACATGACCTAACTCACATTTTCACTGTAATTCGTATTCGGTTATACCGGAAGTCGCCATCAACTTGCTTATTTTAAATGGAACACCTTATATAACATTGCAATTTTGGATTCTACGTGTTATTTTACGTGGACTTTTATGAAGTTTACCCATTCCTAAAATTAACCGTTTTCGAGAGAAAACTAGAAGAGATAGGTATAGGGAACCCTGATACCGTTCGAAAGAGAATAATAAAATTGTGTCTCAGAATATAGAAACAAATACAGGGTGTTCCAGTAAAAAAAAACACTTATGCAGGTTTGAAGTTAACTAAACTCGGCATTAAATTTCTAACACCCTGTATGCGATTAAGCCACTTTGAAAGTATGGACGGGAAGCTTAGGGGGTCTAGCTATTGTCCCTATAAATATTGTTGCTTTATCTTTCTTACTATAAAACACACATGGTTTGAAGCTATAGTCTGTTTGGAAATGAAAGAGATTAATAAAACGCCGAGATAATAACCGGCCATGGGCGTGGTAATATTTCGTTTCAGAACACTAATGCTAACAAAAATGACAGGGATTGGAAAATCGACTATCTACAGACTTTTAAAGGAAACAAAAAATGAACAAGATACTGTAAATCCCCCAAAATCATCTACAGGGAGGTCAAAAGTCGTTATAGAAGATATAGTTTCTGATTCGCAGAAGTACACTCCTTTTATTTTAAAAAATAAATACCAACGCTAAACAAAATTTTAAGTGAACTTTCAGAGAACAACGATTTGCCAAAAATCAGTAGAAGCAAATTATGGGCCGTCTTACCAGAGTTGAATTTTTGCTGGGAAAAGCAGAACAGGAAGTCAGTTCTTATCGATAAAGATGATATTTGTTGGCGAAGATCCTACTTAAGATCAATTTGAAAATTCAGTGACGAAGGGAGGAATATTTATTATCTAGACGAAACTTGGGTCAACGAGGGATATACTGTAACAAAAGTATGGCAAGATAAAAATGTAAAAAGTTTTCGACAAGCATTTTTGGATGGACTTTCAACAGGGTTCAAGGCACCTTCAGGTAAAGGACGAAGATTAATAGTGACACATATAGGTAGTGCCAGTGGTTTTGTAGATGGCGGTTTACTTTTATTTGAATCTAAAAATACAGGTGACTATCACGAAGACATGAACGCAGATGTTTTCGAAGAGTATTTTACACAGATGTTGGATCTTATTCCACCGGGGTCTGTAATTGTCATGGATAATGCCAGTTACCATTCACGGCAGACCGAGCGGACGCCTACGACTGCTTGGAGGAAAGCCGATATAATTCAATGGTTATCCGGAAAAAACATTTCTTTTGAAACAAATATGGTGAAAAATGATCTTTTGACACTTGTCAATCTTAATAAAGATCAGACAAAATACGTTATCGATGAAATGGCAACAAATCGCCAAATAACAGTACTACGGTTACCACCTTATCACTGTGAACTTAACCCAATCGAATTAGTCTGGGCGCAGGTAAAAGGAGATGTAGCGCGAAATAATACTACGTTTAAATTAAGTGACGTGAAAATTTTGTTAAAAAATTCCTTGGAACTCGATAATTTAATTGACGTTACTGTGGAACCTATCGTTATCAATCTAGGAGACGAAGATAATTCATCAGAATATTCAGAGGATGGATTTTAATATACCTACTTTTTTATTTTCTTTATTGTACATTTATACAACACTACATTTACTCACCATAATTTGAATTTTCAAAATACATATATTTTTGTGTGGAATAAAAGTCTATTCATTAAATTTAAATACATATTTTGATAATAATATTGAATAATTTTATTTGAATTACTAAAAACCCTCTTAACCCGGTTATGATGCTTAAAGTAGCCTCATGTTTTGAAATGCTGTTTTTATATTGTTTACTTATAAGAGAAATGGATCGAGAAATTGAAGCGGCATAGACAAAGACGGATTGTCGGGGATTAAATTTTAGCTACCTGCTACAATTTAGTACAGTCCGATCACACAAAGTTTTTTTAAAAGTACACCTCATCTATACGGAAAATACATAATATAAAAATATTGAATATAAGCACCAGTAGGTACTACATTTATTTACGATTTGCATACATAATAAGCTTTTATTACTCTCTTTCATTTCTAAACAGACTATAGTCACTGTTTCTGTCCATTCTTTTGAAAAAAATATCTCGAAAATGGTTAATTTTAGGAATAGGAAAACTTCATAAAAGTCTACCTAAAATAACACGTAGAATCCAAAATTGCAATAATATATAGGGTGTTCCATTTAAAATAAGCATGTTGATGGCGACTTCCGGTATAACCGGAAGTGGTACGTGGATGCCATTATTTTAGTTGAGAAGGGCATGCCCGAAAACCCGGTATCCCAAATTTTCAAAATTCAAATCGAAGTAGTCTCTGAAATAATTTCGCCCTTCCACAAATAAGATCCACTTCTTATTTGTGGAAGGGCGAAATGGGCGGTGACTATTAGACGTCTTCATTATAGCCATCTTTCTCTATCGCACGGATTTCTATGACTTTCTTTATCGCTCTCACGTAACGGCCGATGAACCATGGGGACTTTCCGACCCTGTATATAGAGCGACCTTTAAATTACCGTTATAATTTTACAGGTGTGTTCCTTGGATTATTTTGGACCAAATTACTAGTTTCAGAGATACACAATGTTGAAGTTAAAAAATGTCACATTTTTTCAAACATCTCTGAAGGTATTTTACGTAGACTGATTAAATTTGAGCTGACGATTTAACCGATTAAATGCAAGAATTCGCTTACTCGTTTTACGATTAGTTAGTAGCATCGCCATTAAAAATCCAGACTTTATACGTCACTAAGTTTTTCTGGAAGATCGTTGGCAGCACTTGATTTCTAATTGTTTTCAATGAAAATAGATATGTTTCGTTTTAATCGAATCGGCGTTGAAATTAATTAATAATTAATTAAAAAATTAAATATTTTTCAAGTTTTAACATACGGAAGCAGGGGTTGTTTTCAATATTCACCATGCAACCTCATTTTTTTTGGAGAAAATCCGTCACCTGGGCAATTTGTGGAATATAGTTACGTAATAAATAAAAACAGGTTTTACAAAGTTGGAGAGGAACACAAACATGCTCAACAAAGAAAAGAATCAAATTTTTTCCAGTTATATTTGACGTAAATGACCCTAAAAATACCGTGCACGAAACCTTAAATGCAAATTTCGGTCCTTAATTGGGGTCTTACGTGGTTGTGTTAGATCGTCATGGAGATAAGCTGGCATTATACAACGAAAATTTGCTCAAGTAACATTAGAATACCATTACGACACTCGCAAATTAATGAGATACGTGGCCCCAATACGTATAAGGGTGAATTAAAAATATATTAACAGGCATGCCATACACAATTAAATGGACGTTTGACACATAGCGCACGCCAGTAACTAATTATAGCACATTGATGCAGTTACAGTCATTGTGGAATCTTATCATTATTACTTTATAGCATCTTTTGGTTGTTTATTGGTGGAAACTTTTTGGATAATATTGTGAATATCTGGACATGTTAATAACTTGCATGTAATTACGGTAATCATTTCTTTTTACTCGACAATATGTTCAGATACTGGCAATCTGATTATTCGTCTTACTAATTGGACTGAAATTACAAAATTTTGTAAAAATGGTTGGGAGTTGAATGACCTAAGAAAAGGAGGGCTTTGGGTCCTATTTAGCTAGAAAATGTGTCAGTTTTATTACTTACTTCGTGTTTTACTCATGAAATGCAAGTAACTGGGCATATAAAGACTTTTTTACTATTGAAGGAAAAATCTGGACAAGTGGCACCACTGCAACAGAACTTTGAAGACGACCTTATCTTACATGTGCATATAAAGGGTGTCCCGGTATTTGATACAAAAAAATCAGTTCCTCATATAAATTTTTTTAATACGGGCCATCAAACGTGAAAATTAAAAAGTTATTTATATCTTTTTTACACAGACAAAGCATGAACCAACGAGGGACATACAGTCAAGACAAATAGCGATGGACGGTTGGTCTACTGGTATAAGAACGCTATCTGAAAAGAGATACCGTTTTATAGTAACATATAAGTGGTTTCTCGAAAAATGGTACATACATATTTCAATCCAAGTACCACGAGAAATACTGATTGCAGAAGTTCCTTGAAAGTTTTGTAATTTCAGTTTGTTGCCATCACAGAAAGTGCCCCAAAAAGGATCCTTTTGTTGAAGACGAACGCAAGCTCAACTTATGAAAAATTGTGTAGAGAAGTGTCAAGCGTACAAAAAAATTGGATGCTATGGATAGGCCAGGAAATATAGAGTTGGAAAAGTCGCGAAATTCATTTCCCAGCTCTTTTTCCTGGCTCAACTCGAGCAATAACATTATTGAAACCACCTCCTTATCACTGAATCAATATGGGCACAAGTAAAAGGAGATATTTAAAAATAAAATTGAATACAGTTGAATTAGTCGAAACAGAATTACTTCTTTAAAGTGAAATTGCAAAGTGCAGAAGCTTGTCAAAGGTATACAAATCATGTCCAAAAAGAGAGACTTTGATATTGTGTTGGACCAAATTGACCTTATTGAAATCAACATGGTGATAGTGACAGTGACAGCGATTTGATGAAGGTATGATATATTAGTTTTATTTTTTAAGCTTTTATTGTTTGTCATTTTACTTTCATTTTTGTTATTCAAATGTTGCTTTTCTTGTCGGGGGTCATTCAACTCCGTGAAACACAACATAAAAAACATTGGATCTCGTGAAAAGGAGCCTCTTTCCCTCCTTTTGTTCCAACATGAATTTAAAAACGGATGATAGTTACCCTGAAGAAACTGTCACCATGGCTGTTGTCACAGCTGATTGGGGACCAGATGTACTAGTCTGCTGCTGAGATAACGACCGATACAATGGCGAATTGACGAAGCGTGGGTAGCTATCCCGATGCATCAAGGTGTAGATTTGCAGCTGTGCTTCGTCGAATGTCCTTGGCGTTGGCTCCACCATGTTTCGGTTGACAATTTCACGCACTCTGGAATCAAGTGAGACCTGGAAACAGAATTAACATCATTTTTATTAAACATTGCCAAACCGCAAGCGACTTTTAGATGCGCAGGGATGACAGTTAAGAAACAACTAATTTTAATGCGGGTAGTAGATCTGTTGTACACAAACAAAAACTAATTCCAAGAATACAACATTTCTAAATTCGTACTTATAACACAAAATTAATAATAATCATTGTTTAAAATATATATAATTGGAGATCTAACAATTCCTTGGAAACACATTTTTCCTTTTTTAAAGGAAAATAACAAAAAGAATTTCGTATTTAAACTGCCATTTTTGTCTCCGACTATAATGGCGTAAAATTTTATATCACTCTTTCACCCGTCTGTCGTCTTTGTCTGATATGCCTGAAATAGAGTTCTTTAGAGTTCTTTGTCTTATGTATCTAAAACAAGGTTAAAAAGTACTGCAAGTTTACTTTGTCTACCCGTTCGCTCGAGTCGAATAAAGTGAAGTAAGAAATAATATAAACATAACTAAATTGGAACGGTAAAGCAAATAAGAATTACATATTCGATTTTTATGGATTCTGTTAGAACCGACACTTTAAACCTACCTTTATTTCAATATATTTTGATAGATTTATATCTGTCTGCAAAGTTAGGCTTAGTTTTTTTTATATACAGGGTGGCCAAATGAAAACGAAACAGAGCCATTTTCAGGAACTGCGTCAAGATTGTAGAAAAACGCTCAGACCCGTCGATTTTAGATTAAAGGGGGACATTCTTTGCTGGTATTTTTGACTCCGCCACTTTCACCCCCAAATATTTAAATGGCATTGGGGGTTGAGTAATATTTCTTTTGAAAGCTCTTACAATTCTCTTTACAACATACTTTAAATTTTATAATTCCGCCCAATACTTATTAAGAGTTTTGATTTTAAAGTTGAAACTTATGTACAGACAATTAGTAATGGTAAAAATGTCAGTCATTCGAAATATTTTTAGCTTTACAGGGTGTTCCATTTCGCGTGGGCGCTACATAACTTTGTTATTTTAAATGAAACACCCTGTATATCATTGCGTTTTTTAATGCCATGGTTAATATTAGGTAGAGTTTATTAAAGTACATGGTGTTTAAAACTTACCGTTTTCGAGATAATCAGTTGTTTTTGAAAAAAATCACAATTTCAGCTCTCTAAACCGTAAGAGTTAGAAACCTGTAGTTTTAACAGTTCGTTTTGGTATAAATTGCTATATCTTGTCATCTGTGAGCAAAACGTGTACGTTGTTCAGACTCAGAAATACTGAGAAAATATTTTCTTTACATTACCCACATGATTCCTGACAACTTTTTTTAAAACCATTTTTTTTATAAATTTTACAGTTACAAAGTTACAGAAGAATCCCTCTTAGGTGGAACACCCTGTATATAATTTGGAACACACTGTATAACTATTTAAATGCTCATAGTGACAACAACTTACAGTAGATTATGCAGACGTATAAAAGAAACACATGGAACGGCCGGAAGAAAGTCTAATAAAGCACTTAAATGGAATTTTTGGGAGAATGAACTGAGTACGACTCTGTTAGAAGCGACGCCTCCCGAACTCGTTCCATGTGGAGGTTCTCAAGATGTACTTATGAATGGACGAAGTAAAAAAATAATATCTTCGTAAATATTTGTAATTCTGGAAGATTAACTCTGTATATATTTGAACAAAATTGTCCATTGCTTTCACAAAGGCAGATTACTGCAGAAAATTACTACCAATTTGTACTATTTTTTAGCAGTTATTGCGAGTCTTGTTTCTAAATTCTAGTAAAATAAGGCAGACTCATAACTTGTGCTAGTTTATATGAGACACTAGCGTAATTTTTTGTGTTCACAGATTTCTGGAAAAAATATAAACATTATATAAAAATTGTTGTACTTACCTCTTTAGGAGAAAGGATAGATATATAGTCTTCGTATATGATTCTCGCTTTTTCCTCGATCACTTCTGGATTTGTTTCCCGCTTCAGTTCTTCACAAGCCAACCAAAACAATATATTTTCTTCCGAGTATTCTCCCCTTAGGAAATCTCTAAAAATTTCTCTCCCAGCTGAAAAAATGAGAAATATAAATAAAAGTGTATCTTTAACAAATAAATAAATCAATAGTTATGCCATGACGCAATGAATGTCTTATTCCTGCAGGAGTGTTATTAACATTTACATAACGTTTTTAAGGCTTGTATTTACCACCTCAGAAATTTCTTGTGGACGCCCATGTATGGGTATTCAGATTTAGAGAACATCCTTTATAATTAATTTACATTGATACTAAAAATTGTGCTTCTATTTCATTCGTAATATTTGGGATTTTTTATGGCTACAAGGACGAACTAATCGCCCTATGCACGTGTGGCTACTTTACAGAAACTTAAGAATATCGCTGCATAGATTGCGACGGAATTGTTTCTTCTTGAGCTTTAAGTATATGTGGATTTTTCCATTAAGGATTTATTGCCCTTTAAAATGTAAAATAAAAACAAGTTTTACACAAATATTAAACAGTTTGGTTGAGAGCTTTATTTCAGTAGTTTAAGAAAAAGTACCTAATAATAAAACTAATTTAATAATTTTATAAATATGTTTTTTATTACGAATAAAAATGTAAATTTATGTTGCCTTCGTTCCTAATTAAAAAATTAGATTAGATTAGAATTAGAAATCGAAGGACACCTTCCGAATTATTATGCCCACCGAACTTGGATATTTCAAATCAACTCAATAACCCATTTGGAAAGTTAAATAAAAATAATAATTTGTTTCGAAAGATACAAAAATCGCACAAATCTATAAATTAATTTCTCATTAAATATCTGGCTACTTCAATTTATTTTTACTTTGTTGTTTTTGTCTTGTCTTGGTCCAAAAACAGGTATATTTTCTGTCCTTTGCAATGTGGAATTAGGCAAGCCCAACTGGATTTCTAGCCTTAGCTTAAATATAAAATAGAATCCATTGAATAAATCAATAACTTATGTTAAATATGCATATTAACCTGAATTTCGTCAGGTGAGGGTTACTTGTTTCTTAGCAACAACGAATATACAAATAAATTAAAATATAGTCGGGTATTATATTCAACTAATTATGTACAAAAGTTTTTTTTTACATTTTTCTAGTGAGAGCATTTCGCGAGAATTAAAACTAGTTGGATTTTATTCGCAAGTACGAATAATGTAGATGATATCGATTTGATAAGTTTCAACATGTACTTTTGTATTATTCAATAGTCGTGTTCGCGCATTGTCCTGCTCCTAAGCCGGATATAGAATTCAGGATTTGCTTGGCTCGTTACGTATTTATATCTCGTTAGTTATATGATTTAATAATACACTTGCCTACACGCTCACTCCATATTTTTCTTCTATTTACACGACTAATAAGAAACCAAAGCAATTGGAATTTTTCTTGTTAGCGTAACGAAATATTTTAATACTATATTTTAAGACTTTTATAGTGCATTACAAAGCGTACGTTGCAAATATTGGGCTTTTTCCTATTTTTTTATAATTTAATTCCAAAGTTGCAAAAACATATACAGAACTAACAATTAATAATCTGATTTCGATAGAGATACAAATTGCTATCATTTCTGCAGTCGCGGCATTTTGTCCACATTCGTCGTAAAAATAATAACCAACAAAACGTCCAGACAATCAGTCAATCACCTCCACTTAGCACGTACAAAAGAAAAATACCTAGTTATCCTAAGTATTAACAGAAAGAAAGACTAATATTTGTTTAAGTTTCTATATATTCTATGTTTAAGTTTAGTAATTTTAATTATGTATCTTCATTTTCTATATCTTTAATAGACTGTTACTGAACTTTATTACAACAATACAGTTCTTAATCAGCTACTTGCAATTTGCAATAAGAATTATTATGGGTTCTAACTAAAAGGTTAGAAAAACGTAGAATCTTATATGTTTTTCTCTCCCGTACTCTGATGGGATAGGGATCGACGAAAAACTAATCACACCTTTCATATTCAACGAGAAAAGTTGAAAATTTTACGCTCTATATCTATACAACCAGTCATCGCAGTCTTCTACTATTAGAAAAAAATCAGCGTCACCGAAAACGACCCGGAAAATTTTTTACAAGGTAGAATCAGAGAAGATGCGAGGAGCGGACCGACCAAATTTTTTTTCAAAATTTTGTTGAATCTTAAATGTTTTTCTCTCTCGACGTACCCTGATGGGATAGGGATCGACGAAAAACCAATTACACCTTTCAGATTCAACGAGAAAAGTTGAAAATTTTCCATTTTTTTCCATATCAGAAACCTTCCGATAAATTATACGCTCTATATCTATACAACCGGTCATCGCAGTGCGACGAGGTTTCCACCGTTGGATAGCTTGTTCTTTTCTGCGTCTTTCCATATAAAAATTAAATCGCTAGGATATCTGGTAGCGGAGCTATGGTCGAGAGAATGCGACGAAACACGCAAAAAACGCCATAGCTTCGACTTGAACATATCTCCGCCACCGACCGACTCACGACAAAACGGAATCTACGTGCTCAAATTAGTCTAGAAACGAAGTTTGAACGGAATCCAGAAAATTTGTTTGTTTTTTTTTAATGGAAACGTTAATACTAAAAATTGTCGTTTCACATATACTAATACCAGTAGCGGCTCGTTGTATGAGGAAACTGTAAAATTTGGCGCGTCACATTTGCCTACAATATGCTACAGTTCCCCTCCACGCGAGGCGGTTAAAATGATGTGATTCAGGAGGGAACTGAGAAATAATTAATTTATTTTAAAAAGCATAAATTTCAATTAGTGGTAAATTTATAACTCAGTGTATTTATTAAGGAAATTTCTAACCCTCGGATCGAGGATTATGCTGGTTTTTTACTTATTTTTCGTGGAAAAGGAATTTCAGCAATCAGAGCGAATTGTGGTTGAATAATTAGCCAAATTCCTTGTAACTACGTACAGAGATATTCGCATAACATTCTCCGCCCTTATCACTTCTCCCTTTCTGTAGAGACAAAAATCGCAAAATTCCTTTCAATATCATTTGGATACGATAGAAACAATGGAATGTTGCATAAATATGCTGAGGCTTTAAGGATAAAGACAATCCAGATATTAATTTAATATAAATAAAAAACAACTTCCCTACAACAAAACAAAGTAAGACTAAACTTAACGTAATTTAATATATACTAATTATATTATCAAATACCTACATAGGTAGCCATGGACTTTTGGTAGCTTGGAAACCTTTTGAAACGGAACAAAACGAAATTTACCAACAATCTAATAAAACTGTTTGAGGACATAAATAATTAAAATATGTTGTTGGTCAAATGAACATATAATATAAATTTTCTACACATTATATACAAATTATTATAATTTTATACCTTTAGCAAAAAAATTTTTAGGGACGTCTATGAAACTCATTAAATTTTATTGCTAGGCGTTTTTATACACGTTCAACTGTCTTCGGAAAGACTATACGTCACTGAATTAAGAATTGAACCATGTAACTGCCATTTCTACGAGAAAATAATATGACGAATTTACCCAACTGTAATAACGTTTGCTGAACGTGCTTAAAATTGTATCCAGTATTTTTGAAAGCGTGTATATATATATTTATAACTTCATGAATGAAAGTAACCGATACCGTTCCTAAAAGGTCGTAGGTTGAACGCCTACGACTGCAAGGATCGAACATCGGAAATATGTGCGGAATTGCAACGCCCACTTACGCATTCCTATTTTATTTTTTCCGTTGGTAATGTGATTTGCGTAAAACAAAACAGGGCTGTTAGCTAAAATAAACGTACACAGATTTTAATGAGGTCAGCTCCTTTATCTGCGCATTTATAAGCTTGCAAAAGAAGGTAGTTCCGTTCGTTTGGTCGTTTTGAATATACGGGGTGTTATAGTCTTTCCGAAGTCAGTTGAACATGTATAAAAACGCCTAGCAATAAAATTTAATAAGTTTCAAAGGCGTCTCAAAAAAGTTTTCTGCTAAAGGTAAAACATTATAATAATTTGTATATAATGTGCAGAAAATTTCTGTTATATGTTCATTTGGCCAACAACATATTTTAATTATTTATGCCCTCAAACAATTTTATTATATTGATGGAAATTTCGTTTTTTCCGTTTCGAAAGGTCTCCAAAATGCTTTCCCTTTCGCAATTATATGAATGATTAATAGAAGATGCCTATAATAAATTAAAATTACCTGAATCACACCAAATTCCGCACTGCTGCCCTGCACTGCTAGGCAATTTGTCAACCACTTGTCAACAACTGAGATTTATTGCCCAGTCGCCCAGTGCGGCTGTGTTAAATATTTATATTATACGATACACCTTATCATTGATAAATTACGAATAACAACATACAATAAATATTTTTTATGAATTACAGGTTCCCATCAGCAAAAATTAATACAGTTTTTATTTAAATTTTCTATCAAAATCGTATTAATTATAGAACTTTTACAGTTTTACAGTTCGAAAATGTTACTTACTACTGATCTAAAATGAATGGATTTTGAGCTGTTTAGCCGTTATGATTGAATAATAAATATATACCTACTACGAAAGCTTTGCCAGTTGTGTAGGCACTTCGATCGTCAGCGCAAAGATATGGAATTCAGGGCATGCTTTACATTTTCGCACAATGCTTATCTTTCCGCCTTTTGTTCAAACCTACGTCACTAGGGGAGAAGTAGGCTTTGGCTTTAGTCAAAGAATTTTCTAAATCGTTTGTGATAGATTAGCTTTGACAAATAAACAAGTAAATCCTCCTCTTTATGGTATTAATAAAGGATAAAAGAGGATTTGCCCGCTCTTTTTCAGTCTGTGCTATGCCTTATTTAAAAAGCCTGCAGAAGCGTAACGCTTCCTTGTAGTTATTGTATTCCTTGTGTATGTTATATTTGTAGATATTAAAGTTAGTTCTTTTAAAAAGAGGACATAGATAAATAACTAAGACAAAAAGAAAATAAGCCATGATATAACAGATCAGTACTAACCAAAGGTACATCAGTAGATGATGCAAAGTTGTCACGATCACGTCAGAGTCTTAGGCAAGCAAACCGCATTTTTTTGTATACCATGTTACATATACACTATGCATTTGTCGCCTTCTCAATATTTTTCGATTAAGTGATGCTTTGTTCTAAGGACCGTGATTAAATCGTACATTCCAGGTCCGTACTTTGCTATCACATGACATATGAAAAATAAACGTATTTGTCTATATACTTATTTGTAGTTTTGATTTTATAAGTAGATGCTTATTACTAGTTTTTACTGAAATATACAAAAACACATAATAAAACATGTTTCAGATAGTTTGACTTATTAGAAACAAATTGGATCTCATTAATGGATGAGCTGCCGAAGAGCTTTTATTACAATAAAAATACATTGAAATCAACGAAAGAAGCCTAACGGAAAACCATAAAATTTTACAATAAATGTTGGAAATGATTCCACCCACCCGAAACTGATGAGTGACGTCATTGGTATTATAAATCGAATAGTGCCAAGATCAAGCATCGCTATTTGACCTGTATTTTTGGAGTTTCCCTGATCCTGTGTCATAGGAGCTGCTGTTCTTGGTTTTTTTTACTGATAGATTGTTATATAAGTAGTATGGAGCTCACAAACTTTGCCGGGTTATAATTCTGGGCACACAATTTGTAGTGTTGTAAAGTGGGATAAATAAACTGGCGGATCCATTAATTTCCACATGTTTTCAACAGATCCACTGTTGAGATAGAATGGATTGGGAGGTGCTGTCTTAAAAGATGTTTTTAACATGGTAACAAAATAATTTGCAGTAAGCATTTTTATAAAAAGGTTTCGAATATAAGCTGTTCGAGGATAATAGAAACTAAAATCAAGATCTATAAATTTTTGGCGTGTTCTATATACTTATAGTTTTATAAATTTCCATGTCTTATTGTGAAATCGAAGAAAGAGCGAACCGAATAGAATAGACAACTACACATACGACTATCAATAGTTCTTGAGTCGAAGTTAGAGAGTTCAAAAATCAAAAAACAAAATGATGAATTATGTCAAAATAAAAGACAGTAACTGACTATGTTCTACTCATTATTAAACAAAAAGATCTCTTTGTAAAAAAAAAAGATCTAGTTACCTGGGCTTCTCATGAGTTTGTCAAAAGATCTGCCCCAGCTCCGTATTTCTTCCAAAGATGGTCTGGAAATAAAAATGTGTGTTAATCATTGGTATTGTGGGGGAAATTCATTTGGTAAGAGGAATTTGTTTAATGTCTTCATATTTAGACAAACTGCGTAATAAAATCTATACAAATGTATTGACGGTTGCCTATTTGCTATTTGCTCTTAAATACGAAAACTATACGATATGACGTAAACAACTTCTGTAAAGGCTCTTATATCAAACAATTCCTTCTACTCAAAGATTTTCCTTGTCAAATTATTTAAAAAATCTTACGGTGGTTCCGCTTCACAGTTAACCAATAGGTCGGAATTATTTGAATTCCTTGTAGGGCCGTTTTCGTCGTTTGCTTTACCACCAGGATTGGAACTGGAATAATATACATAAAAACTATTTACTATAATATGTCCTTAGCATCTGTAACAAGATAATATATCTTTCTCATTTAATTATAAAAACTTTCATCGTAAATTAGTAGAAACGAGTGAAAATTGAATTAGTAGTATATTAATTAATACGTTTTCTTTTTCCGTTTCATGAGCAACAAAGGGTTAGGCAGAATGAAGTATACATTTTAAATTTGGTCTTTTTAATGAGTGACTAAACTTTTATTCATAAATCAAACAAAAGGTCTTGAGAAAACACGGAAAATTTATTTTCTAAAAATTACATCATGTACTCAAGAATTTCACTCAGTGGATTCACTCAGCTTTCACTCAGCCTTATTTATTTACAGTTTACACATTTCATTGCACTTTATGACGAGGAAGGGTATGTAGAATAATAATATCGAAAAAGTAACTCATTAAGCTGACAAATTGCAAATAATTGACAAATTTACGTGTTTTTTCATTTTTTTTACTGCCCACGAAAATCTAGACGACCTATCCGAATATTAGTTATTGTATGTTGTTGGCAATTAAGTTACCTACAATCTAAGGTACCTAGAGTCATTTTTCATTAATTTGTTAACTGTCAAATAAAAGTCGAATGCGGAAATATCAGTTTTCGAAAATTACTAAATTACTAAACTAAAGTTAATATCGTAGATACAGGTTTCTAATTGATCCAAAGAAACGTATCGAAATAGAAAAATTGCAAAAGTTGAAAGTAAGTGACACTTTACAACTAACAAATTAGGACGTGCAAAACACCATTATAAACAAATTGCCCTCAGGTCAGTCAAAAGCCGCTCGGGGATTCGCTCTTTTTGCATTAAATATTGCTAATTTTTACAGTAATTAAAAAAAATAAATCACGTACCCCTCTTTGTTCCCAACGTTAATTGTTAATTAATTATCGGACCGGGATTTTAGAGGTAATTAAAGGGTAAAATTTTATTTTCAAAAAGTTTTACATTGATAGTTCATGTAATAAACGCGCCAGCAGCGGTAAAAGTTGACGTTAATCAACGGACTGTACGTGAGAGAAGGAGCACCGGGCCCGTGCATGCGCGTGAACGGTGCTCTCGTCGCGCGCGAGGTTTTTGACTTGAACGTTTCAAATTCGATTGACCGTCTTTTCATCAACATCCATCGCTTTCTGCAATAATAATGCGCAATTTGAAAACTGAATAGGGCGTCTAGATTTTCGTGGGCAGTAAAAAAAGTAAAAAACAATTGTTTCGAATTAATTTTTTGATAAATTCTACATTCCTTTCCCCGTCATAAAGTGCAATAAAATGTCTAGTAATAATTTTTTCAGATTTTCAGGTTTTATGATCTAATTCAGATTCAGATTCAGATTCAGTGGCCGAAAATATGCAAGAATAATAATGGTCTGCTTTACGGCGCATACAGGTTTTGTGGGACAATGTTATCATTTAATGGTAATTTTTATTGAAATATATTTTTTATTTTCTGTTTTAAGGGAGTTTTTTTGTGGATATCCATGTAAGCTAAAAGAAATAAATGCATCTTATGGATGTCCATAATCGGGAAATTCATTTTATTAAGTCCATTAAATCTACATAAAAAATGTCTTGTGGATTTACTTAGACAGTATATCCACTTAGATAACTAAATAAGATGTCGTATGGATGTTTCACTTGTGGATATCCATTTTTTTATCTCCCTTTCGACAATTACAGTAATTACGACCTTTGGATACGTTTAAGGATAGGTATCTATGTATATATCAAAATGTGGATATCGAAAGAAGCGATGTACAGGGTGTTAGAAGTTTGACTGCCTTAATTTTAACAGAGGATAGAATTAATTAAAATAAACAAAAAACCTTATATGACATGGGTCCTAAACTCAACCATTTCCGAGAAAAAATTATCAAAGTCTCCAATTTGATGTACAAAAGTTCAATTAATTAAGGAATATTGACATAACTGCGTGCATAGAATACCATAAAATACAATGTTTATCACTTTTTTGAACTTCTTTATGCTTAATTCAAAAAAAATAATTAGCGTTGTAATAAATCTAAAATTCGATAAAACTCATATCGAGCAATGTCACAATTCAGTTGGTGTTGGTATCTGGAATTGGACCGTGTTGGAGTGTTTTTCGCATACCACTATTTCCTTTTCTTGATTGATTTTCTTGATTATTTAGACGACGTGAATTTTTGGGTACTTCAATTACATATTTTTCAAATTCATAATTTGATTAAAAGATAACTTCCTGTTTTAAGAGATTCATTATTACTAAAATTCGAGTTAAAATTTAAGCATAACACTCTTCGTACTACAAAATCGATACATTTTATTTTATTTATTTAAAAACTGGAAAACAATTGTCTTGAAATTTACAAAATGTTTCACAATAATGGTTGTTTACACTTTTTCCGTAGGACAAGTCTACACACGTGGTGTGTATCAACTGTGTAGCGCTGTTGTCACGTTGTGATGAAACTCCCCAATACTAATACTCGCTGTATTTTGAAAACTGTTAATCTTACGCCCCTATAATATACAACTTTTTTGTTCATTTATGATTACTCTATCTCATGTTAAAGTAATTGCAGTCATACCTCTTACACCCAGTATATCCAAAAATGAACACAAAATGGGTATCCGTAGAACATCATGTGTTATATGGCATACAGTTTTGAACAGTAACGGGTGTGAGACCCTACATGTTTGCCCTGCTACTTTGTGACGTTATATCTATTATTCTCACCAGGGGCATTTGCAGCAACAACACCAGAGAAGGCAACAGGGCTTGGACCGTAGTGGGGCGCTCTGAGGACCGGTTTGAGGGCCATTCTGTGGTGGTGTCGAGATCGGTGCATTTCCCCTAGAATTCGGCGACGCGGCTAGGCTTGCGTTACTCGCGCCCGTTCCCCGCAATCTACATCCTGTTGCCGTTACTGTTACCGTCGCTCCTGCAGGACCCGCTCCAGCTTGGGGACCTACCACTCCCGCTCTGTTGTCTGTCACCCGTTCAGTAACGCTACAAGACATCTGAAATAAAAAAAAGACTATTATAGTTTCCGAGAGAAAAATGATTGAAGTTGTAGTATATTTTCAAATTGACCTCGGTTTGACCTTGAAGCCTAAGGTCAAGGTCAAATGTAAGATCATCAGTATATTATGGTAAAATAGTTTATTTCTGTAATTATTAATCATACCATCGCGAGGAAACAAATCGGTGCTTGCTGTCATTTTTAACTCTTTGACATCTTTGTAGATGCTTCTATTCTATGTTTTGGTTTGAGTTTTTGGTTGTGGGTTGCTATCAATTTAAGATTAGCTTACTTGGATATAACTGTTATACTCATAATTATGATTATGTGTGATTATGTCTAAAGTTTAGGTATTGATAAACATAAAAAGTAAAAATATGCTGTTTTTCCTTATTCTCAATGTATTGGCAGCTTGTAAACTTGCGGTTGGTTCTACTTCCCACGAATTCATGTTGATAAAACGAAATTTGAAATTTAACGTGAAAATAAGGAAATTTTATGCGGAATAATTGCACAAAACTTATCGGAAGTGGATTTAAAAGAAGCAGCAGTGATTGAGACATATTCGAGGGTTTAAACTATGTGTAATTTTTAACGAAACACCCCGTATGGATATTTTACCTAAAACGGACCGAGAAACACCACCTTTTAATATTCAAACGTGTCTAATTTTAATAGAGTTTCTCCTGTCAAATCAGAGAATGAAATGAATCAATTTCCGTTGTATTTTCGGTACGAAAAATCGTTACCACACCCTACTCTTTGTAAATCAATTAGAGGTGTTTAAAAGGACTGACCGCTGGCGAAAGAAAGAAAGAAGGGTTGTATAAAAATAAATCGTGATTTAAACTGGATATTTTATGAGCGGTGGTATAAATCAATGCAGTTATGAAGAGGAAAAAATTATCTAACTTTTAATAAGTTTCTTTTTCTATATATCTTTTTTAATCTAGTTTTTATACAATCACGCAACTGACAGGGAGGCAGACAGACTGTCAGTGGACATTTTAGACAGAGGATGGCAGAAAAACAGACCGATAGAAACATTTGGTCATTAAGTCAGACAGGAAGATAGACAATGTTACCGACAGAAAGGCAAGTACAAGGGCAAGATGTCAGAGAAATGGACAGAGAGAAAATACAGGCGGACGATAAATACAGACTAACAAGCAAACAAACAGGTGTGATGAGCATTCGTAAAAATTTTTTCCAACTCTTTTACCTCCTATTCTTACTTTAACCTTCAAACGACCTTAAACATGAGGTGATAGAGGTCAACCGACACCGCATGCAGACTCAGCGACCTAATAAACCTACGTGTGAATTTTTTCAGGTTTTTCCAACCACCTTTTCTTAGTTTGACCTTCAAATGACCTTAAATCTGACGTGATAGATATTAATCGACCTCGGCATCGGAATCAGGGTATCTAGGTAGAGTCCGGTGTTTTTTTTTCAAACTAAATGTTGACCTGTTAAAATTACTTGCCGATAACTATTTTCCGATACATATACAGGGTGTAGATAAGAGTGAAAAAATTAAGAAGGTGATTCCTCATTGAACATTATGGCATGTTTCATGTAAAAAAAAATCTGTCAAACCTCTCACTGCAGATTTATACCACTTTAAACGAAGAAAGAGAAATTTTATTTTTATACTATAGAAAAAGCATTTACTGGACAATTTCTTAATCTTTCTGCAAGGGGTAGAAGTAGAAGTGAAGTACAAAGAATAAATCGAGTCATAGCGCACCCAGGATTTCGGTCTGTGGATTTATCGCATTAAAAATACATTTAAATCAATGAAAATACATTGAAGCAATCCTTAATTCTAAAGAGAAATGCATTAAATATCACAAAGAATGTTGGAAATAATCACTTCCTACAGTTATATAAGGCTCAGAACGTCGATCCACATATATTCCTGGAGAATTTTAAATTGCCACACATGAATCAATGGTCCCCAGGAGAACAAGCCTTAACCGGCGGCGGCCGGTCTCAGTTGGCGGGTTTCAGCCAGGACGGGAGGAGGCCCCGCTTAGTGAATTAATTTCAACACCGTATATCCTAATTAATCATTTATGAGTGATTTATTTTTGCACTCTGAGTAGAAATTGATTCGATAATAGTTAAATTAAATCATATTAGTGAAAAAGTCAACTCTAATATATATTCAGAATAGAGTCAAAAGTCGCTCAATTGATAGTTAGCAGTAACTCGGATTTGAATAAAACTCACTCATTTTTGATGCAATGGTTTCACTCAGTTGATCTCAATTTCACTCAATCGGTTGTGAACAGGAATTGATATATTATTGAGTAACATTGAGTGAAATTTGAGTGAATTTTTTTTACAGTGTACACAGGTGTCTTGTACACTACAGTTTTTAAATGAAATACAAAAACTTATAGGACTTAAATGATGTATTCGAGGAGGCGAAAAATAAAGTCCACAACGGCCTAGATTTCATCTAAGAAAAAATGGTAAAGACCAAAGTTTTAGAAATATTTCTTGTGATCTCACAGAAACATAAAGAAATAATTGAATGTTGCATTTCGGAGATATAAATCAATCTTTTTTGGGTTCCTCACGTTTAGTTTTTTTAATGGAAAATATCAATGTATGAATTATCGAGAATCGAAACTTACACAAACCTTCATCTCTTGGGAAACCAAAAACGTGAAGCCAAGGTCCATTTTTACTATTTCCCTCGCACAACAGATCGAAAATTTACACCATTTTATCACACAACAGTTGTCGAATTGTACCGGCCTAACACTACACCATCTACTCGAGATTCCTAGACATAACCTCAAATTTACAACTTGATTATTGAATTAAGGCGGCAACAATTCGTGCACTGACTTGACTGTCGAAACTTCTGGTAGTGACGTCACTGGACAAGGGATGTAAGGCTTTATATTAAAGGTGGTAATGATACAACTCATGTGTAAAGTACCTATTCATACATAAATATTTCAGTGACTATATGATATTGTTTGCTTGTAAATATTGTAATCTATCCATGTTTGTTTTATATTTTGATTAGAATATCCAAGTGGAAATAAATGATAAATACACCGAGAATATAACAGTAAAATTATATCTGTAATGTGCTAATGGGGTTAGCTTCGAGTGGTGAAAGGTTAACTATTTTCACTCGAATGAGGCAAGGGTTTTTCACTTTCTCTTGAAGGAAATATGTCCCTTCGAGGGAGAGTCCACGTTTCGAAACAATGCCGAACGCAATTAATTAATTAACTTAAACTTAACTTAAAGGCGTTTTAAAACAAAACACCAATTTACAAAACGCTTGTATTGAGTCGTTGACGTTTTGCTGTAGTAGGTATATTCTCTTTTGCTTAATTTGTTACTGTCTCTTATTTGTTTCCACTTGATGAAGAAACTGAAATTTCTGAAAAATGACTCAATAATAATTAAATTTAAATCATATTAGAGAGAAAGTCAACTCTAAATTGGTTTTATATACTCAGAATAGAATCAAGAGTCACTCAATTGATAGTTAGCAGTAACTCGGATTTGATTTGTAGCTAACTGTACAGGGTGTTAATTACACCCGTTACTTCAGTAAATCACAATATATTTTTTTCGAAATTTCAAAACTAGAGAAATTTCAAATTAAAATCCCAACTTTGAACACTCTGTACCTCGTAAACTTGCAACGTTTGTATGAGGCATATTAAGCTCAATCATCATATTTTGGTGTGTAGTATCTGCAGTTTTCCATTCTTAATGAATCACCCTGTATATAGAAATAGTATATTTCAATTGATTCTCTTCGCCCTATCCACCCGTCTCGAATGTCCAAGTAGTTTCTTATCAATACAGCATAGTGTCACACAGGTGACAAATATCTCGCAGAAAGTGCATTTAAAAATAAAAAATGTGTTCAAATTCATCGATTTACGAAATAATGAATCAATTCCTTTAATCAGTAATCATTAATGCAAAAATATTCGAAATTTAATTCTCTTACATGACTAAGTGGAAATTAGTTTCTGCGTGATGTTCTAGAGAGAAATAATTTAACTACATAGAAGCAGAATAATGGAGCTTTTACGTGTTTATAGTTCATAGCTGCACATAATCTGATAAGTCCCTTGCAAATGTATTACAAATGAATTTATTATGTACTAAATTTTATCTCTTATATAGGTTTTATGAGCTTTTTATTTCAATTGTGATAATGCATAAGTATTTTTTTTAATTAAATGCATTAGGGACATTAATATATTTGGTTAGTTAAAGAGTTTTTTTTTATAATCAATTTATTTTTTGCGTTAATATTTATATATTACTTACAAATTAGTGTTTTACATGTGGTAAAAAAATTCTTTCAGCATTTCAAATTCAAAACGTACTATTGAATGTGATCAAGAAACTACTACATTTGTAAGACCACAAGGGATCTTTGTAACTAATAGTAGCAATGCATTACTGTAGTATTATTTGTTATATTATTCGGTAAAAAGCCCGAGATAACAATCATTATCTCTTGTCCTATGTTATTTGAGGTTATCACTGATTAAATATAATAATGAGTTGTTTGATCTCAATACACTTTATACAGCGCGCTTTCGAAAGTGGGGTTATAATTTTAATGGGTTATACAGTTTCACAAATAATCACACTAATAAAAGCTTTATAATAACAGAGCTATTTACATTTGAAGTTAATGAGATTTCCGACTTCGGTTCTGTAACTATTAATCATACGTTCCGTGTACCGAGTACCGCGCGGAAATAAATCGGTAAATAAGTCTCTTAAGAGGGCTCCTTAAGAGTGAGCCCTAGACGGTCGTTTTATCAGATATCTCAAGAACCTTTCGAGGTAAATAAATGAAATTTGAAAATAGATATTACTATTAGGTTTCGTTGTTAGAATATAATAAATCTTAAGATTTCGTAGTATTTTAAGCAAGGTTGGTAGAAAAACTATTAACTTTCAACATCAACGGTAACTAAACGCAAGCTTAAAAGC